CTGTCACCAGGTATGACGATGATCCAAACATTAACCCTCAACTAAGTGATTTTTTTTTCATAAATCGCAATATATACTTCATCGTGACAGCGCTAACCAAAAATTCGACCATATAATAGATCACGCATCACAAAACCTTAAAGCGTTTGAATATTTCTTTTATAAATTTAATCATTCCGCAAAAACGTTAAACTTCCTTAACTTGAAGGAAAGAAAAATGTACTGTTCACATGAATTCATGTTAAAAACAAAGTTTACCGATACGACCTCATATTATAAATTTATACAAAGACACTACCTACACAGTTCACCATCCAATAATTCACACCATCGTTTCATGTTCATAAACTCAAAATACACATCGTCCTTTTTCTTGAACTTCCCATTTTGCATCAAATCGAATAACTTTCATAGCATCCTCGGAAATTCCGATCCTATTTGACAGATGTACATATGTTTTTCACTGACTAACACCGTCACACTAGAGACGCGCGACCCATCATCATTCCGCCAATTGAAGTAGCCCTACCAGAAAATAATCACCTCACTAAATTTAATCACAAACTTTATAACCTTATTCAAAAAACTAACCATGAGTTTTCAGTTACCACCAAAGAAGTGGATATCATCAGAGTGCTTGAGCTTCTTTTGCCGCTGCTTCGCGCTAAAAATGAATTTCGCATGCATGCAGAGTTTTTAGTAACATCCGATACCATTAGAACTAACTTCCCCCATTGATTTTTCTTGAACCTGACCCCTCGAAAAGCAAAATTTTATCATTATTTTTAACACAACTCAATAGGACACTCCACGTTCCTACTCAAGTGTTTCACATTTTTCTTAGATTTCACCAGGCACTCATCTAGAGATAAAACGTAAACTAAAATAAAAAATCTCTTCTTCATTTTTAAAATGTTATCCTAACCAAGTCAATAAGAAATTCTTGCGAAGTAAATTTATGACAAATCGCAATAATTTGATAATTCTGTAGTAAGATTTAAATATGAAGTAGTAAATTAATAAAGCAAAATAAAAAAATTAAAACTAACCTTTTATTTTATGCTGCTTTTATAATGCTACTTCTCTTCATCGCCCACACTTCACACACTCTTTCTACCAAAATCAGGTAACTCGCCCACGTATAATTGTCTAATAATGAATTCTACTTTCATAAATTAACCGACAACACTTCTAACTTGTTTTCATACGTTTCGAATTTTCCTTCAACCCGGTTGGAAGGAATTTTGAGTAGGCTTAGGCTAACCAACGCAGCTTACTAATGCCACAAAACCAACCTCATGTATAAGAAAGTCCCACGGTACCCAAACCAGATTAACCCAGATTAAAATTGGTTAAATTATTCTTTTGAAACCCACTTTCAAGTTTTATTAAAACCACTGGAAACACAAAACACTCAAATAAACAACCCAAGCCACAAAAGTCTATTTTTGATAAAAGGACACAACCAAAAACAAAAAAGATTAAAAAAAACTGATAAAAAAGAACGAAAAATGAACACGAAAAAAGAATCTGCTCTAAGAGACGGTAAAATTTTTCTCCCTCAAATAGCCTCGTCTACCAGTGGGACGTCCTGAGCATGCTCTCTTGCCAGCCTAACCCACCACGCTACACCACGCTTATGAAACACGTCGAAGTTGACTTCAAATACGGATCCTTGTCACTTGGCGCTTCACACCGAAGAAGTCAAACTTCATCTCGCATGTAGTCTCGCCCTAGCTTAACGAAATCAACACATCTTTGCATAGATCAGATATCTTGACACGATCACCCAAGACGATCTAGGATATACGAGACCCACTTCTGGAGCACGAACAACTGTCCCCCTTCTCTCTATGAAGTCATCTACTACGAATTACGAACAAATGTCTTTTCTTCTTCTCTCACGCAGTCACTGCTTCAAAAAGAAACTACTCAAAGAAACAAGAAACCTCTCCATCCATCCTTCACTGAAATAAACATTAAAACTTAAAACTCCCTAAACCCCTGATGGTTGGAAGCAGTTTAAAACTAGTATTTATATCCTATTATAATATTGATAAAACTATCTGGATAAAATATTTCTAACCAACCAATCAGGATCCATAACTAACACTTACAGTTATTTGTAACGCTGAAGCTATTCATTGTTTCAGCAACAGAACAAAATAAATATAACTTTTGTTAGTTGTTCTCCTTCAAGATAGAAGATAGTTGTTCTCCTTCAAGATAGTTCCTGATATCTAACTCGCAAATATCAGTATACACTAGATCTATAGAGACTAGGAGATATAAGAGTAAGAATAAGATTGGTATTAGACTGAGAAGTTGCACAAATCTATCCGGGCGAAAATAAGATAGCGTGACAAACTGACGATGTACCTTGTCTGTAATAACTCTATGAGTGAGCCACCCCGGACTTAAACTCACAAATATCACCTGGTTTTGAACAATTTTGACACAAAACAAAGTTACCTGCTTCAATAACCAATAACAACCAATTTTGCATAAAAATTTCGAAAGCACACTACTCGCCATCCTTTGTCAGCCTATCAGGTTTGAGGGTTTGCCTACGCGATTGTCTACTCGCTAGCCGCACACCCTCTGAAGTAAATAGGTTTATTTATAAATATCAGCGAGTTTTGTGATCGAGCTGTTCTGTTGACATTCACCTTGTATAAGAGTAACAAAGTTCAATACAGAGGCAATGATGAACAACCATTAAAATGATAGATCGCGCATTCTACCGTCAATGCAACCATTTGATTTACTCTTCCAAATGGCTTCAGTTTCTTCAATAACTACTATAAATAACGTGATAATCTTATTTATCTTAGCTGGTTTTACTTTCAGTAAAAATGAGATTTCAGAAATTCTGCGCAGAAGATCAAGAATGTCAATCATAAACGGTCGGCCAGTTCTGCGTAATTTCTTTGTTAAGGTATCTCCAAAACATAATACTACTGCTTTCTGCGGTGGTGCAGCCTTACATCCATATTTGGTTATTACGGCAGCCACATGTGTAACGACCAGCCACGGTGTTCAAATGAACGGTAAGATTTCAGTAATAAAACAATGGAACAGCAGTCACGTAGAAAAATTGTTGCAACTGTTTGATTATCACCAATGCACCGGGAGGAATTTGTTAAGGAGAGAGGTTTCTTGACCTTTTTCGGGCACACCAAGTTGATCTTCAGTAACATTCCAAAAAACATTTTGAAGACAAAAAATTTTTCCGTCGCAGGCTAGTTTTGGAAATGCCGTTTTTGGGTTTTTTTTTATTTTGACCAAAAAAAAACATATCTGGAGCGCGGTGCCTCTTAAATTTGATGCATTTTGGCCTCGAGGGCGCTTTGGGCTCGAGGTAATTAGGGTTGGCCGAGCAGAAATAGATGTCGTAGCATGGTACCAAAAGGAAACATGGGACTGGGAGACAAATTGCTTTTTTGGTTGTTCAGAATAATCTGAACCAAATTAACTCGAAAAAAACGGTTTAAAAATTGGGCAAATAGGATGAGACTCTTTTTTCAAGTAAGTTAAACTATGTGCACGTGAGATATTTAGAAAAATTCGCTTGGCAATCCCGCCTTGTTTGTAGTTACTTTTATACGATTTTACATTTTCGCTTACATTTTCGTTGCAATATCCTCCGCCCTTGAAGAATGAAGATCAGGAGCGATCTTAACGGCCGACCGAGTGAAATCACACGTTGCAGTCTTAAACAAGGTCGATTGTGCGCAACCTTAGATCGCCTGTCTTAGGAGTGAATTCAGACTGAGTGTGCCACTTGACACAGTTATTCAGTAAGGGAAAATATTCTCGAAACCCACGAAAACAAGAAGCGTTAGTTAGGGTACAACTGCGCTCGCACGTACGTTTTCTTCTTGTGTTCAAATTAATCCCCGGTAAGAGCGAAGGAAAACTTAGGGCTCGCTGCCCAAGCAAAAAGCGGTTCGCGGTCAGCGCAGCCAACTCACGTGAGTTGGTAGTAACGGGAGTGATTGGGCTAAAACTCAAAGCATGCTCAAGTAAGCAGAGTGTTGCTCCTAACAACTCTTCAGTAACTCGCCTACTGCCTAGTGCGTCGTAGAGCACGCAATTTACGCTTCGCACGAGGCGCTCCCAGTAGCGGCCATGATGGGGTGTGCCTGGTGGGTTAATTTTAGAAGCAACAGTTGTTCCAGTTCTTAATGCAAACAAGTGATTTTTTGCCCACCAACAAAGTTCGTGTCATTGTCGGACTAGATCGTGCTTGGTGTCAGACGACGCAGAATGAATCGTTCACTGCGCATCATACAAGAACTAGTGTCCAGAGACGGCTAATTCTCAAGGTGTACAGCGCCCTGATTGTGAGTCAAGTCATTAGAAGGTCCATCTTTTCTCAGTGCATTTGCGAACCGGAACGTAAAACGGCCCTAAGTAATCCACGCCCGTGGTTGCTTATTTCCAAGACGTTCGACAGGTTTAGACTAGGTTTTTTGGATTGATAGTAGCAGCTTGAAGTCTCTAACAGAGTTGCGGGTCAAAGAGATTGTATTCTCACTGGAATTATTTGCTACACCTTTATCTGAATCATTCGAATTTTCCTTCCGAGGAAAGGCTTTATCAGATCCATGGAGCAGAACACTATTTGCGCTATCACACTGAGGCTTTAGGCTCTTTTTATCCCTCTTACATTGCTGAAAACTTATTCAGCTACGTACTTTGTTCACTGAGTAGCATTTTTTCCTACAAAAACAGCGTAGATTCATAACACCTGACTATCTTTGTACAAAACACACGGTGGAAATTTAGTTTTGTCCTGTATTCTTTTAGATATGTTGGTATTGGCCGCAAAAACTAGGTATCGCTTATGCACCTTTGCATTTTGTTTTGGCCATTTGTAAGAATCCAAGAGTCTTGGGCGCTGCCAATTATGTTTAACAGCATGCATGGACCATGTTTCCTTGAAGTTGGATGGAAGTTTACTAACAGCTTGGTTTATTAGGTTAAAACCCTTTAGATCATAATTGAATGACAATGATTTGAAAATTACAATCATGCCACATATTGCATTGGAGCAACTAGAGCCATTTTCCAAATTGCACACCTTATTTGGTGCAAAAGTACTCATCTTAACAAGATGTGCGGAAACAATAGTGTGTGTTTTCCAAATATCCGTTGCGAGGTAGCCAGAGCGTCTTTGTACACATGGTCACTATAAATAAACTCCGCAATTGCGGTTTTTGGTTTTCCTGTGGCGTGTGTTTAAGTCAATGTTGTATCAACTTGGTGAAGTGTGGAATTAACAATAGACCTGAATTGACCAAATCATTAGTGCCAGTTAACGGATGATCAGAAGGATGATCTTTGCAGTTATGCATTATTAATTCCTCCAATTCACGCGCAGAGAAGTCGAAACAAACATTAATCTTGGTTCGGTTTAGCTGAAGACATTGCGTAGTTTTTGTTGACTGGATTATAACCAGTGTTACTTTGTAAACAAAATGCGGAACATGTTGAGGATTAATTTACGGATTAGTAAAAAACATTGTCCCACCACTAGTATACTGGACGGCTGTGTTACACGGCAGAACAACAGTTGTCGCATTGAAAAGTTTCCCTGCATTACAACTTTGAACCGGCAGGACGATTTGAGTTGCAGTTGTTAATCGTCATAGGTTTGCATCACTTGAATAGTAGTCGGTGATATCAGGTGACACAGTATGCGGGACGAAAGGAATACTATGTTGCATCTAAACTGGAGATGCATGGCAACGAGGAGTGAAACAAAACCGGCTGCGGGATTCTTGCCGATGATGTGAAGTCATCACCATAAAGCGCAGGTGACAAAAAAGAAACAAAAACCAGAACTGGGTTGGGAAAGGAACATTTGGACAGGTTATGATTCAGGTTCTAAAAGAAACCAATAGTTATGTTTGAATTCATATTTTGTACAGGAACACCAGATGATGGGAGTAAAACTTGTGCGAGAGATTGCATACTGCCGACTGCAATTCAAACAGGTGGGCCAGACACCTAAATTGGTATAAAAAATCTGCACTGCCAAAATGAGGCGTAGTCCGATGTTCATGTCTAATGATTCCAGGGTTACTCGATAATGTGTGCCCATGGTTACCACCATTACTTGTGTTAATTGCATGAACGAGGCTGGCAGAATTCGTCGGTTCTGACCTTTTCGGAAGAATGGGCGAAGGCCAGTACCTTGCGTACTAGCACTATCAGGTGGTTCTTCTGTTATAACAGAATCTACCCAAGCTTTAGTTCAATCGGTTGCGTTTTCTGAAACGGAATGGCTTGCTTGTGCCAAACTGTTTTCCACTAATTCCTCTACCACCTCAGATAAAAAATCCTCAATTTCAAAAGCTTCCATTTTGATTTCATTTTTAAAATTTTTTTATGACGTTCTGCTAATTAGTGCAATTTCAGCTGACTTTGTTCGAACTTCAGATGTTCTTGCTCTTTAGGCCTTATAGATACCAGATACTGCTTTTCTCGTGATGTGGCATCACTAAAGATAAATCATGCCGCTTCTCATTTGACGACATAGATTGAGCAATCAAAACATGACAATGACAAGTGGAAGCAGTTTAACTAGTCTACGTGATTGATGTTTTCTACTTTATGTAGTTTTATACGAGGACTTTGACTTGTTTTCAGATACTCGCGCTTCTTAATCTCTTGTTTTGTGAAAGCGTTAGGTTGTCTCAGAGGTAGTTTACTGTATAGAAGACTCCTTGTTCCCTGCATTGCCGGATGCTGGGATTGACGAAGTTTCAATGCTCATCTTTTAACTCCAAGATTCAAGCATTTTCTTATCGTCATTCAGTTACTTTCTTAAGCCAAAATTTTTGCTGAGCAATTTTTTTAGGTTTTCGCTTACGTCGGCAACTTTTTGCTAAATAATTATACAATTGTAAGCAGCATTATCAGTTTTTGAGGGTCGACAATTATTCTCAATGTACTCAAATATTAATGAACTACTTTTAAGCAGCTCACTTTTTAAATTTTGACGGGTTTCAAATAAATTGTGTTTCTTCACTTGAAAATTTTATCCATGCCTCAGTGATTGATACTAATTTACGGCTGGTCACTAACTAGAAAAAAAACTCAAAATCAGATACTGTACTGATACATAAATACATCAAGATTAATCTATCTTCGTTAACCCACAAGATGGGGGAATTTTTCGCCTCAAGACGTCTGTCTGAGCCTTAAGTGGTAAGCGCTTACGCTTTTACGCGTTTTAAGGATTTTAAGACCAGCGCTATTACGCCTGAGAAGGAGTAGGATCTCTTACTCAAGGGAAGGATGCTAGAGAACGCTCTTTGAACTTCTCAATTATTTCGTAATCTTCACCCCAACGCTAAAAGAAAAGGCCTTTAATGGCATTCAGAACGAGAGTACCTGTTAACACCAAACTTTCATCTATATCCTCAGTTCCGTTGTGTCTGCAAAACACGATAGCACTGTTATTTGTCTTATACCTTAATAACAAACTGACAAGTTGCTCACTACTCAACTTGCGGTTATTGTTGCTGCGATGCCTATTTATTGATTATTAATGTTAACGGCGTCGTGTCGAATCCGAAGTTCGTTACTGTGATACAAGTAGTGATGAAGATAATACTGTTTTGCTTACTGTGGAACCCAAGCACTAAAGTTCAATCTTAAACCTAGTTTTGTAAAGAAAGTATCTTGGACGCGCTTCTGCGGCGGTTCGGAAAGTTTGCAAAGCCCGTGAGTGACCAAACAGCTCCTAAAATGAATGCTATATTCCTAAGGGACCTACGTTAATGCGACTGTTCTCTTACGGTTAAGTACCAATGGGGTTGAAAATTAAATAGGTCAGTTGAACTCCACAACACACAGCGATGAAACCTGAGGATGAAAAATTCATTTTAGCCCACTTAATATCACCGTATCTGTCCAATGAATATTACTATCACGCAACGAATTCAGTAATCAGATGGGCAAAAACAGCTATGATATACCTAATGCGAGTTAGCTTTTTGTTTCAACAAGGTGGGTGGGGAATCAGGCAAGTTGAATGAATCTAACAACAAACGCGCAAGAAAAACGAGGATGAAAAAATTTAACTTAATTGGCCTGATTTGTCACTACCAGACCACCTAAAATAAGGTTGGTTTCACCTCAAAGCACAGTTTCGCAATTTTCTGGGTACTTGTTGATGATTTTTTTGACAATTTTTTGATTTTTTTCACGAAAATTTTTGAAAAATTTAGGTCTGCGGATTCGAGTCATAAGGCAATCTAAAACACTGTCTAGTACCTGTTTTCTAATGATTTTAAGTCAAACTTTTAAAAATCAGACGTGAAATAATTCAAACTTTTTTAGAGTCGAAAAAATTTGCCGACCTGGATTGTTTCAATCCGTCAAAAAACCCATTCAAAAATCTTTTGGCGTCGAGAAAAAACAACGATTTGAAAGATTTCAATCCGTCATAATAATATTCAAAAATTTTCGTATCGAGAAAAAAATTACCGCCTGTTCGTGCTTGCTTTGAGTTGTGATACAATCAGGTAGAATTGTTCGCATCGAGCGAAAGTTTTAAAATCGGTCTAAGAGTCTTTTGCAACTCGCTCACATTTGCATTGCAGCCAGGAGGTAATTGGAGTTGGCCGACCAGAAAGAGATGTTGTATCATTGTATCAAATGCGAGACCTCTGGGAAAGTTTGGCAAGCGACCTGGGTTGACCAAAAATGCTTGTATTACAGTTTTCATTTAAAGAAATATGCTATTACCGTATTTCTTACAATTTTCTGGAATTTTCTGGAATCGTAAGAAAGTGTCTGAAAAGAAATTTTTTCATGTAAAAAATTGGATGGTCAAGTCGAAAATTCGAACAAAAACTCTTAACAAGTTGCTTTTTCATGCTTTAAGTGTTAATACCAGGCAGTACATTTCATGCTGCTTAGATACTAACGCTGAATCAACTTTGCACAAAAAATGTTCAAATAACTGAGCGATTTACATTGAAAAAAAGTTTTATTGTTTGTAACATTTGTTCTGCCAGCTCCACCAGTTAAAAAAATCCTATGCTTTCTTCAGTGGTTTCTCAGAATTTTTTCGAAATTTAGTTTTAATGCTGGGCAATGTTTCTATTTTATGTTATTTTGTCAGGCATCAAATGAACCAAATAAGAACCTGCAAACGCCCATCTCGCAAACATCTTAGCTTAACGTGTAGCTCTTGTTGGCTGCTTGTCCGTTTTTTTTTCCAGAGGGTCCCTTTTTCGAAAAAAAAGCTTATTTGAGCATGAAACTGATATTGCGACTAAAAATTGAGAAAAAAATTTCCTTCTGAATTGTTTTAAGCAGCAATTTTTAAAATGCTTGTCATACAATTTTCATATAAGGAAATAGTTTAACAAACAATTTTTCCATTCATGGGTTTTTTCTATTGTACCGAGCTGTATGACAAGCAACTTTTGTGTATGGAGGTCAACACGTTAGAATTAGAGGAGGTGGACGTTTTTTAATGAAACATCCTGAAAAAAATGTAAATGTAGAGAGGTTGATTTACAAAATCAAACTGTTATATTGGAACCTAAATTGAACTCGCTAAAGCGCAAAAACAACATTGATAAAAGAACTCAAAACAATACTGAGCCCGGTGTCAAAAAAGGACAAATTATTATAATGATTCATACGTTTCAATTTCGCATCCATTTATACCAGCAGGATAACACAAATTTTGAGCATTCTTTAGTTAGAACTGATTGGTCATTTTAATATCATGATATTATGATAACCTCTTTTTAAAACTTCCGGTGTGTTCAAACATTTTGTTTGAAAAATGCGAAAAAACGTTCCAAAAACCACACTCCACACTGTAAAATTGAAATTGTGGTCGGATTTTTGATAAGTTGATAAGGAAATTGTAAAAAACCTGAGTTTTTTGGAAAATTTTTTTAGGTTGAGGTTGTTTTTACAAATTTTTGCGAAATCTAACAAAAATAAAAGAATCGGGAATATACGATTTGTTGTATACTTTTTCAAAAGACGTCACTCAGCAAAAAAAAAAAACGTTTACATTACCATTTAAACTAATTTTAGCGTCCGGTATCCAAGTTGACTTCGAGAGCTCATTTTATTTGAGACGAGGACGGAACACACGCATCGCGGTTAAACTTTACGTCTACGAAAAGTAAGTTTGTCGAAATTGTATCAAATCGTCTGGTTAAAGTCTTTCTCATAGTGGAGGGATCGAATGATGGAAAAATTCCATCATCTCAGAAGTCTTAGACTTGCTAAGTGTTTTTTGCGCAGAACAAAAATTAAAGTAGCAGATAACGATTTTTAGCAATACAGCCAAATCTTACATGTATAACTTGTGCAGCTATCAAACAAACTTTTTTGTTCTGGTTTTAATTTTTTTAAAAATCGGTATCCCACAATATATCCCTCATAAGGCAAAATTTGAAATTTCATTTAAAAGCATATGAAAAGTTAAAAGTTCATTTATCTGCTCATTTTGCAGTCGGTCGATAATAATTTGAAAGATTTGCATTCATTTGCCTAGATTAGCTCTTGCGACTTCTTTGAGATTCTGGAATAATCAGTTCTGATTGGCTAAAATTGGTTTTCCTTCATTAGCTCCCTCCATGATAAGGAACGCCAATAACACAAGTAATTTTTTGTGCCCTACATGCTTTGACAGACCTTTTCAGTTACTGGGATTGGCTAAAAGCTAGTTTAGAAATACATTTTTGTGGAGTGAAATACAATCTTCAGGACTTTAAAAAAAAATTTCTTGCTATAATAAGCCTACTCGCTCGCTTAACTCGCTCGAAGTATTTGAGCAAGTTTTTCTCTACACTGGGTTTCAAATTTCTCGAAACTGCGACAATGTTTTGAATTTTTTTGATGTCGTTCGAATGATTGATGAAAGCGTTGTAAATTGATAAATCACTAGACCCATTCCGTCAAAAGTGTTTGTCACTTGATTTTTCGTGGAAAAACAATAAAAGTAAAACGAACTCGAAAATCCAATGGTCGGAGCCCAAAATTTTCATTTGCGAACGCTCAATTTTTTCCGCATTCTCGCAAAATTCAAAAAAAAACAAGTTTTGGCATCTGGTCGAATTTTATTCACAGCTTTCAATCATTGGAAAAACTTGCAGACTTTTCTCTGACAATGGAAACGAACTCAACACTGTAAGCAAAAATTGGGACTAAACACTACGCTTTGAACCATCTCAGAAAGCGTTCCAAAAAAAATCGTTTTTTTTCGGTCTGATTTTTACATTACAAGATGTTCTAGTTTAGAAATTCTAAAATAAAAAATTTTTATGAAATTATATCTTTCACTAAATTTTGAGACTTTCGGCGCCGATAGAAGGCAGTAAAGCAGTCGAAAAAATCAAGGTTAACATTTTTATGAGCAGTCTAGCTTCAAATTTGTTCTGTCATAAACATTGTTAAAAAATGTTCACTCGAGCTATTGTGGATTAGTGAAAATTCTAGAGGGGAAAAAATGTAAAGATTTTCTCAAGTGTTTAAGGCAAGTTCCATGGGATTCAGCATGCTAGCAAGAAATCAAATAGATTTAAAATAAGCTTTTTTCCAAAAAGCATGTTGAATGTTGAAGTTTTTTTGAACCCCGGTCGAGGTTTGCAAATTGCGATCGACTCGACAAAAATTTGGTATGTTTAGACCGTCTCGACGCAGTCTGGATATGTTTTGAGCGACTCGACTTGAGTTGTTTTTGTTACAGCTATGTTTGACCGACGAAAAACAATTCAACCAAGTTCGACCGAGGAAAACGTTTTGACCGAGTTCGACCGGGGAGTTTTTTCCACAGAGAAAAACATTTCGACAGTGTTCGACCGAGGAAAAACGTTTCAACTGAGTTCGATCCAGAGTTTTTTGACCGAGAAAACTTTCAACCGAGAAAAAATGTTTCGACAGTGTTCGACTGAGGGAAAACGTTTCGACTGAAAAACTTTAGCTGTGTTTGACCGTCAAATAGTTTTTGAATGTTTTCAAATAGGATTTCAGTGTGAACAATTTGGTATATGTATTTATAATTCGACTTTGTGTTCGACTTTATGTTTTGACTTTGTGTTCCACTTATGTTTCGACCGAATCGACTTTATGTTTCGACTTTGAATTCGACGATAGGACCTTCTCGACTATAGATTTTCGGTCGACATCTGACATGTGTTCGACCCACTTCTGTCGGAACATATTTCGCAAAATCGACCGAACCGTGATCATTGTTGATTTATGCAAAAACCCCTCACTACCTAAAAGGTCCACCTTTCGTACTATTGTGCAACATTAATTTCTACCTAAATCACCCTGAATTTTTCTAAAGGCGTCTTTGGCGCAAATATATATTAGAAAAACTACTAGATTTGCGCCTGATCCAGCCGAAAAAACTCAAAATCTAAGAAATAAGAGGCAAAAGTGGAAAAACTTTGTCGCAAAGACAAAAGACTGTCATAAAGTATTTCCGATGTTTAAGGTTCCAGATCGTGGCCGAAAAACCGAGAAACAATCTAGCAATACTGAAGCTGAGAAACCCGATGCCAAATGGTGTGCATACCATTCAGTTATGCCTCAAGGTGCCCGAGCTTGGCACTCCTCTGGCGTCGTTAGGGTTTGGTTCAACTTCAACAATCTCTTATGAGCCTTCGCTTGAGTACTTGAAAGAAGCATATTTCTATGAAAGTGTATTTACTACAGATGCTCACTCTACTTCTTTCTTTGAAACTTGTCCTGAAAGCGATATCTGCACTGATACATTGACAGCAGGCACCAGTATATGTTCTGGGGATATTGGAGGACCATTGTATGAGTTCAATTGTGGAACCATAGATCCTGTATGTCTCTATGGAGTAGCCAGTTATTTCACACAGAATCCAGATAATCATCGCATTTGTAATGATGCCAGTGTTTTTACAAAATTGACTCACTTCCACGATTGGATAAAGCGAATTTGTGTCCAGTTCAACTGGAGTCTTACTGAGAAAAATTTTTATTGGGACTTTTGTCTTATGTAAAAAGTTTTTTGTGTTCAACTAAACTTCAAACTATCTTAATAAAGTGTTCATAAATTTTCAGTTGGAGGTTTCAAAAAACAACTCAAGAGTAACCACGTGCCGTAAATCTCACACAGAATGGTCCAATCGATCGCAATGATAAATTCAAAGGAAAACCAAGTAAATATTTTGATTCGAAATACGTAATCGGAAAATGTTCAAAAATCATTCGAATGATGTTCGCTTTTTAGTTGCGATTTTTTTGGGGAGAGATTGAAACTTTGAACTCTATCGGCATTCAGTTTCAAGCGCCAATAACGGTTTATACTATGATATTAAAACCAATCTAAAATTGAGAAAAAAATGACTTTATTTAATAAAATCGATTAGAATTTCTCTTTTTGAAATCAAAATACAATCAGTTAAAATCAGTTTTAATCGTTTATAATCAAACATTAATCCATCTATTTGTCGATACAACTATAATCGATTATTTAATACTAATTTCTAATTCTTTTGTTTTGAAAAAAATAACATTATAAACGATTATAATCGATTATAATCCCCCTTTGTTTGCCCATTTTATCTTCAGCCTTGCACCTGACTTGTTTATATTTCAAGCTGTTTGCATACAATGGCTTATGTAATAAATAAGAAAACTGTTTTCAAATCACTTCAATTTTATAACTTTCTCTTTTTTCATTTCTACTCCATTATAATTAACTCATGATGCTCATGTCAAAATTTCATGATGTAAATGGAAGATTTATTTCTCACCCACCACTGGAATCAGTCAACTAATATGAAATGATCTCTTTGAATTTTTGTTTCGTGGTAAATTTTTGTGTTCGGTTGAATCAAAGTATGACAAGACATCTCGTTTTTAGCAATTCTGTTATTGAATAAAAAAGTAACGTATAGGATATAGTTAAAACATACTTTTGAGGTGACAAAATTTTGGCGAAAGTAAGAGATTGTAACTGAATATAAGAAATTATAACTCCTGAAAAAAAAACACGATTACAACATATTATAAATCCTTTAAACACCTATTTTTGATAAAAATCATCAATTATGATTGTTTAAAAAATAACATAATAATCCGTTATAATCAATTACTTGCGCATAAACTTGAATGTGAGAAGCAATACTAGTTCAGACTGTACTTTGTTGAATTGTTAGTAAATTCCGCAACAAGCTGAAAACAAATTTAACACGAAATCAGCAACACGTCTATTTTACTTTGATCTTTCTATTTGTTTTGGTTTCTACGAACAAACAGCCAAAACGTTATATTGCTCAAGTATCTCCAAATGCAGCCAACTTGGTGGTATCCAGAGCAAAATTTGTAGCAGAATTCCAAAACAAATATCTATTCAATACATTGTAGATAACAATTTTGCTGAATCACGTCACAGTGTCAAATTCACTGGCAATTTGCGGAATCCACGTCCACTGACATTTGCGGAATCCAGAAAAACTAACTAAACTTACTCAACAAATGTCCAGAGAAAAGTTACGTTACAAGGTATTTGTGCTCAGACTTCATCGAAGTTCAGTTTGAAAAATCCTTAAAGACTTCTCGCTTTTAGTGACGCCATGACAGATCACGCAAGATTCCAGGGACCTTGACCTACACACACCAAACGGTACGTCTATCCAGCGCAGTTTGAGCGCATAAAGAAATATTTGTAATTTAGGTAATTAGGAATTAGTAATTGCCAACGTTTTCAAAAAGTTAGGCAATCCACCCCACAGTAAATATTCAGAAGTTCAATTTTCTCGAAAATGAGGTAACTTTTGATAATGCAAGAGAACAAAATCACGATTGAAACGATCAAATAGAACACCACATTCGGTGCTCTGAGTACTTTTCAAATTTTCTTCGATTAATGAAAACACCCAAGGCCATATAGTTCTTCACAGTTTTTTAAGATAGTTTTGATATATTGGTTTCATTCAATTAATTTTAGAGATACATCTGATTTGTTTATCAATTGCACTCTTTCGTGATTCTCTTAACACTCTTGATTCGTCTTCATACCACAACAGCAAAAACTAGGCCAACAGACAGTTGCAGAAAGTTAATGAGTCAAGGAAAGAAAAAATACATATATCTTGATAACTTTTTCACATTTCGAGTTGAAAAAAAAATGTTCATGTTTTTAATTGAAGTAGCAGATAAAAATTTTTAGTAATACAACCAATTTTTACATGTATAATTTGTGCAGCTATCAAATAAACTTTTTTGTTCTGATTTAAACTTTTTTTTTATATCGGTATCCCACAATATATCCCTCATAAAGCAAAATTTGCAATTTTTTTTAAAAGCAAATGTAAAGTTAAAAGTTCATTTATTTGCTCCTTTTGCAGTCGGTCGATAATAATTTGAAAGATTTGCATTCATTTGCCTATAATAGCTCTTGCGACTTCATTGAGATTCTGGAATAACCAGTTCTGATCGGCTAAAATTGGTTTTCCTTCATTAGCTCCCTCCATGATAAGGAACGCCAATAACACAAGTAATTTTTTGTGCCCTACATGCTTTGACAGACCTTTTCAGTTACTGGGATTGGCTAAAAGCTAGTTTAGAAATACATTTTTGTGGAGTGAAATACAATCTTCAGGACTTGAAAAAAAAATTTCTTGCTATAATAAGCCTACTCGCTCGCTTAACTCGCTCGAAGTATTTGAGCAAGTTTTTCTCTACACTGGGTTTCAAATTTCTCGAAACTGCGACAATGTTTTGAATTTTTTTGATGTCGTTCGAATGATTGATGAAAGCGTTGTAAATTGATAAATCACTAGACCCATTCCGTCAAAAGTGTTTGTCACTTGATTTTTCGTGGAAAAACAATAAAAGTAAAACGAACTCGAAAATCCAATGGTCGGAGCCCAAAATTTTCATTTGCGAACGCTCAATTTTTTCCGCATTCTCGCAAAATTCAAAAAAAAACAAGTTTTGGCATCTGGTCGAATTTTATTCATAGCTTTCAATCATTGGAAAAACTTGCAGACTTTTCTCTGACAATGGAAACGAACTCAACACTGTAAGCAAAAATTGGGACTAAACACTACGCTTTGAACCATCTCAGAAAGCGTTCCAAAAAAAATCGTTTTTTTTTCGGTCTGATTTTTACATTACAAGATGTTCTAGTTTAGAAATTCTAAAATAAAAAATTTTTATGAAATTATATCTTTCACTAAATTTTGAGACTTTCGGCGCCGATAGAAGGCAGTAAAGCAGTCGAAAAAATCAAGGTTAACATTTTAATGAGCAGTCTAGCTTCAAATTTGTTCTGTCATAAACATTGTTAAAAAATGTTCACTCGAGCTATTGTGGATTAGTGAAAATTCTAGAGGGGAAAAAATGTAAAGATTTTCTCAAGTGTTTAAGGCAAGTTCCATGGGATTCAGCATGCTAGCAAGAAATCAAATAGATTTAAAATAAGCTTTTTTCCAAAAAGCATTTTGAATGTTGAAGTTTTTTTGAACCCCGGTCGAGGTTTGCAAATTGCGATCGACTCAACAAAAATTTGGTGTGTTTAGACCGTCTCGACGAAGAATGGATATGTTTTGAGCGACTCGACTCGAGTTGTTTTTGTTACAGCTATGTTTGACCGACGAAAAACATTTCAACCAAGTTCGACCGAGGAAAACGTTTTGACCGAGTTCGACCGAGGAGTTTTTTCCACAGAGAAAAACACTGCGACTGTGTTCGACCGAGGAAAAACGTTTCAACTGAGTTCGATCCAGGGTTTTTCGACCGAGAAGACTTTCGACCGAGAAAAAATGTTTCGACAGTGTTCGACTGAGGGAAAACGTTTCGACTGAAAAATTTTAACTGTGTTTGACCGTCAAATAGGTTTTGAATGTTTTCAAATAGTATTTCAGTGTGAACAATTTGGTATATGTATTTATGTTTCGACTTTGTGTTCGAATTTATGTTTTGACTTTGTGTTCCACTTATGTTTCGACCGAATCGACTTTATGTTTCGACTTTGAATTCGACGATAGGACCTTCTCGACTATGGATTTTCGGTCGACATCTGACATGTGTTCGACCCACTTCTGTCGCTACATATTTCGCAAAATTACTTTTGAGGTGACAAACTTTTGGCGAAAGTAAGAGATTATAACTGAATATAAGAGATTATAACCTCCTGAAAAAAATACCCGATTACAACAAATTATAAATCTTTTAAACACCTAATTTTGATAAAAATCATCAATTATGATTGTTTAAAAAATAACATAATAATCCGTTATAATCAATTACTTGCGCATAAACTTGAATGTGAGAAGCAATACTAGTTCAGACTGTACTTTGTTGAATTGTGAGTAGAATCCGCAACAAGCTGAAAACAAATTTGACGCGCAATCAGCAACGCGTCTGTTTTACTTTGATCTTTCTGTTTGTTATGGTTTCTACGAACAAACAGCCAAAACATTATATTGCTCAAATTACTCCAAATGCAGCCAATTTGGTGGTATCCAGAGCAAAATTTGTAGCAGAGTTCCAAAACAAATATCTATTCATTACATTGTAGATCACAATTTTGCTGAATCACGTCACATTGTCAAATTCACTGACATTTGCGGAATCCAGAACAACTAGCTATACTTACTCAACTAATGTCCAGAGAAAAATTACGTTAAAAGTTATTTGTGCTCAGACTTCATCGAAATTCAGTTTGAAAAATCATTAAAGACGACTTGCTTTTAGTGACGCCATGACAGATCACGCAAGATTCCAGGGACCTTGATCTACACACACCAAACGGTGCCTCTATCCAGCGCAGTTTGAGCGCATAATGAAACATTTGTAATTTAGGTAATTAGTAATTAGTAATTGCCGACGTTTTCGAAAAGTTAGGAAATCCACCCCACTGTAAATATTCAGAAGTTCAATTTTCTCGAAAGTGAGGTAACTTTTGATAATGCAAGAGAACAAAATCACGATTGAAACGATCAAATAGAACACCACAGTCGGTGCTCTGAGTACTTTTCAAATTTCCTTCGATTAATGAAAACACCCAAGGCCATATAGTTCTTCACAGTTTTTTAAGATAGTTTTGATATTTTTGTTTCATTCAATTAATTTTAGAGATACATCTGATTTGTTTATCAATTGCACTCTTTCGTGATTCTCTTAACACTCTTGATTCGTCTTCATACCACAACAGCAAAAACTAGGCCAACAGACAGTTGCAGAAAGTTAATGAGTTCAAGGAAAGAAAAAATACATATTTCTTGATATTTTTTCCACATTTCGAGTTGAGAAAAAAAATGTTCATGTTTTAGGACATATCCCTAAGAAATTTGCTTCCCCAAACACCCTGGGAGCCCTTTGGTACTAATTTGCTCAATAATCCACTTTAAGCTGATCAGCACCTAAGATTTTCGTTCGTTCGGTGCAAGTATATAATAGATGTGTGAGGAGAACCGCGTTCCGATAAAGCGTGATTCATCATCGAAACTTGATTAAACTAAAAAAACGTCGACGAAGTTTTCAAAAGCGCTGGAGCCTCCTCAGTTTTATAATTCAATTTGTGCGAATGGTAATATAAACTCAAATTAATTTATATACAGGAAGATATAATAAATAGAGTTCCAGTTTATTACTTCAAGATTTTGCACTCTATGTTCGAAAAAGCCGTGTCAAAACAGCAGAGGGTCTATCAAAGGCTTTGAACTATTTTGGTCCGTTTGCTATTACCCCACATTCTACGCTGAGTCACTGCAAACCCTTATCATTGTTTAAACCAAACGTTCATCATCATACTAATAGTATCTAAAGCCAGAGGTTACATCTTTAAAAATAATAACTTGTTTCGCATTACATAAAACAATAGCACAGTGTAGTAATCGAACATCAAAGGAAAAAGATGACGTTTTAAGTTTTTAATTAGTATAATTAAGCGACGAATGGGAACAGGGAAATGTTAAAAGTACTTGTATCATATACAAAAAGTGCATCTTTAGGTGATTTAGACAGTTCACAGTGTTCCCACATGCATGGAACCTAATCAAATCAATTCTTTCTTATTGGGCATTCGAAGTTGTTCGACTCGAGGAGGAATCGGACCCGGTCGAAGGGCTTCCGCTGGTCCTGGATCCAGTGCTTACTCCACTCTCACCAGTGTTTGCCATGCTTCCCGCGCCACTTCCCGGCAACTCGCCGGCTGCGCTACCGAATCCACCGCTGCGAAGACTCTCTCTGGACATGCCGCTCTGTCTGGCTTGAGATCCAGAAACAGCAGATCCCCCAGTTGCTCCACTTGGTCTACTCATGCTTCCCTCAGCTATGCTTCCAGACATTCCCTTAGTTCTAGGAGTGCTTCCAGCTGGTCCACCGGCACTAACACTCCTGCTACCGGTCATCATGCTGCCTACCTTGGAACCTGAAACTCCACTAGCATCGCTCATTCTCTGCTGCTGTGGACCTGCGACACCAGAAGCACCGGTTCTAGCCTGGGTCGTGCCACCGCTTACAACAGATCTAGAGGCACCGGACGCTGAAGTGGCACCACTCAACCTATGCTGACTCATTCCACCTGGACCGCCAGCCTGAGACCCGCCAGACATGGCAGAAGCATTGCTAGATCTAGACCTAGTACCAGCGGTCGGATCTCCACCCTGGCTACCCGACACTGCAGTACCGCGCCCTGCACTTCTGCTACCTGTCATCTGACTGCCTGGACCCCCACTCATACCACTAGTCCTACTACCTCTACCCATAGATTGAGACCCAGTCACTCGTGATCCACTCATGGCACCACTCTGTCTAGCTCCTGTACCATCAGAGCCAGCATCACTGGGACGGGATTGGGCCTGACTTGCGACAACGCTTGACTTAGACATGGTACCCCCACTCGCACTGCTTCCCCTTTGCTTCGGCACAGATCCTGCGCTTTTTGAGATAGTACCACTGGGTCGGAGAACTTCGAATCCCTCTGGGTCCTGCTGGGAACCCTGTGAACCACCGCTAACACCAGATGCACGTTGAGCAGATGAACCAGTAACTCCACTCACCCGAGAATCAGCCGGTGCTCCTCCACTCATTGCGCTTCCAGACCTGGAACCTCCCATACCACCGCTTAGCTTAGAGTCCCTTGAAACTGAACCACTCACACCACTCACCCGAGAGCCCTGTGGTTGTGAGCCCGGTGGGCCACCTTGGGATCCCGACATCTGGCTTCCCCGACCAGCCTGCGATCCAGCCATCTGGCTTCCTCGGCTGCCAGGCGGCCCTCCTTGCGAGCCTGTCATTTGGCTTCCTGGAGGGCCAGCTTGAGATCCAGACATTTGGCTCCCCCGACCAGCTTGAGATCCAGACATTTGGCTTCCTCGACCAGCTTGCGATCCAGATATTTGGCTTCCCCGACCAGCTTGAGATCCAGACATTTGACTTCCCCGACCAGCTTGAGATCCAGACATGTGGCTTCCTCGGCTACCAGTAGGGCCTCCTTGTGATCCTGTCATTTGACTGCCCTTGCTTCCTGGCGGCCCTCCCTGGGATCCAGCCATCTGACTTCCTGGTGGACCGGCTTGAGATCCAGACATTTGGCTTCCTTTGCTTCCAGGAGCACCTCCTTGAGATCCAGTCATTTGACTTCCTCGACTTCCAGGCGGTCCCACTTGTGAGCCTGTCATCTGACTTCCTTTGCTTCCGGGTGGTCCATCCTTCGATCCAGCCATTTGACTCCCTCGGCTTCCTGGAGGACCTCCTTGAGATCCAGTCATCTGGCTTCCGCGACTGCCAGGTGGACCTCCTTGCGATCCACTCATTTGACTTCCTCGAGTTCCTGGAGGACCCCCTTGAGAACCAGTCATCTGGCTTCCTTTGCTTCCAGGTGGTCCACCTTGCGCTTGGGATCCGGTCATCTGACTTCCTCGGCTACCAGGAGGTCCTCCTTGAGATCCCGCCATCTGACTTCCTTTACTACCGGGGGCCTCGTCTTGCGATCCAGCCATTTGACTTTCTCGACTGCCGGTAGGTCCTCCTTGTGATCCATTCATTTGGCTTCCCCTGCTTCCCGGTGGTCCTCCCTGGGATCCCGTCATTTGACTTCCCCTGCTTCCTGGAGGTCCTCCTTGTGAACCAGCCATTTGACTTCCTCGGCTACCAGGTGGTCCTCCTTGCGATCCAGTCATTTGGCTTCCCCTGCTTCCCGGTGGTCCTCCTTGGGATCCGGTTATCTGGCTTCCTCTGCTGCCCTGAGGTCCACCCTGAGATCCCGCCATGTGACTGCCATGACTTCCGGAAGCCCCTTCTTGCGAAGCTGACATTTGACTTCCCCTGCTTCCCGGTGGTCCTCCCTGTGATCCTGTCATTTGACTTCCTCGACTTCCAGGCGGTCCACCTTGAGAACCGGTCATCTGACTACCTCTGGTACCAGGGACACCAGCCTGAGATCCGGAAATTTGACTGCCCCGAGCACCTGGTGGTCCGCCATGCTGAGAACCAGGTATTGATCCGGGAGGTCCTTGCTGCATGCTTGGGTGTGACCCAGGAGGTCCTTGTTGCTGGGAGCCAGCAGGTCCAAACTGAGATCCATCACGAGATCCAGGCCTACCAGGTCGCTGTTGGGATCCTGCTCGTGAACCAGGTCCTCCTTGAGAACCATCGCGAGATCCTGGTCTTGCTCCTTGCTGCGAACCAGACAAACCTCGACCACGTGCAGCAGCAGCAGCGTGTGACCCGGCGTGTGATCCTGATTCGTCCAAATTTTCGTACTTCCCGTTGGGGTCTATTTGACCTCCTACACCACTATGTTTACTGGCTCGCTGTTGACCATGCAAGCTTCCTGACATTTGCTCTTGTCCATGGCTGCCCACCATAGATCCATAGTTACCATACATATCTGCAATTGATCCAGTTTTGCTTCCGGCACCTTGCTGGCCAGGATGATGTGGTTGCCTGGCTGGCTGAGCAAATGATCCAGTGTCCGACATAACTTGTTTGGCTCCTTGATGCTTTTGAGGAAGAGCAATTCCCATATCAATTTGCGGATCATTTTTCTTTCCTGGTGCTCTCGGACTTGAAGCATTAGATGGTTGAGAGCCTGGTCCTTGTCCTTGATTTTGATTCATTCCTCTTCCCCTAGATCTCCCGCGACCGCCATTTGGGGACGGCGAATTTCCGCGACCTTTACCGGGTGCTCCAGACGCAGGTCTAGAGCCTCTTCCTCCCGCGGCGCCTCGCCCACGACCTCCGGAATCGGGTCTTGAGTCTGGTTTCGATCCCTGGGTACTGTTGGCACCTCCTTTTTTGGAAGGAGATTTTTCCCCTTTTGCTCCTCCTTGTTGCGGTTTTGGAGTAATTTGAAATGGCGAGAGATCTCCGGAATGATTCGCACTGCTTCCGCCACTTCGTTGGCTGTGAATGTCTTCGACTTGCTTCACTATTTTCTCGATCTCCTGTGGTGACATTTGAGGACTGTGTGCCCGAATCTCTTGGGGAGTCAGTGGTCTGTCGCTCTCAATCGTAGTGGTGTTCTTGATTGTAACCAGCAATTCGTCTTGCTGATTCCCAGATGCTCCTGAGTTGACTGAAGCCAAGTCTAGAAAAGAATACAAATTTAGTATTTTATATCCAGGCCTATGCTTTAGTGCTTTGTTACTTTAGTGGAACCAACTACTCGTGAAAACTTATTATTGATAAAACAAAAAATACTCCAAAAACACGTTCTTTAAAAAATCCTTAGGCGAATTAAACAGGCCATGAATGCTTTAAGAAATGCTGTTCCTTCCTTATTCCTTAATTGAATTGAAAATAGAAATTTCAAACCCGTCAGTTCTGGCTCTTCCTTCATAATATCTTGCTCGTGCTGCTTGAAGTTATCTTGTGGTTTGTCTTTTTTACCCTTGTCCTGTTTCGGCTGCTCTTTCTTCTTCTTCGGCTTCGGGTTCTTCGGGGCCGTCAAGTGAGGCGAGGGGGGCTGCATCTTTGCATTTTTGATCCTTGCATCATGCTCCTTTTGTCTTTGCTCTTGGGTCTTTTCAGGCGGGGCCGGCCACGCGCCCGCATTTCCAGGGTCATCCATCTCATCCGGGTCCGTTATTTTATTCCTCCCCCAGAACCTCGAGTCTCCATGCCCGTATTTTCCGTCTATCTTTTTGTACAAGTAACTAGTGTGGTGTAGTTCCAGCTGTTGTCCGGCTAGTGCCCCGTGGCATTTTGAGATCGGGTTCAGTTCTCGGGTGGTCAGTCCCATGGATCCGACTGCGGCGTTGGCCTCGGGGGCCGCCACTGATGCCCCTCCGTAATCGTCATTCATAGAAACAGTGAACGAGGCGGGCTCTAAAGTACACAAACGCCGTTTACACCAAAAAACTTTTTAAAGCCAGTGCTTTAGCTATAATTCGTCTATCATTTGTTGAAATCAAAAGAATTCCTGACGGTCTGTTCACCGATTTTTTGTTAAGCTCAGAAAAAGGAAGATAAATAAAGACGTGGACAATAATTATTTTGATCTTAACAGGAAACTGGTTATTATGCTACAAGCATTCTAAACATTGCGGCAATCAGCGGAATGAAAATAGGCAAAATCGTTTCCTTACCGGTATACTGTCTCCTAGGCGAAAACGGAACTGGGAAGTCTCCTCCTAATCTTAATGACCCGAAGGTGTTCCCGGATATCGTATATCTCGCCCTACCATCGCCCGAGAAACGACTGTGGTTAAAGGCAGTTCCCGGGTGCTGGTACCCGTTCCCCCCTCGCATCAGGGCTCCCTGGGCTACAGGTGACGGCACAAACGGGTTCAGTGACTGCGACCGCCGCATTATCAACGGTTGCCATTGATCCGTCATGGCTCTAGTTCAGTTTCAAGTATAGCACTTGGTGACTTCAGCTCACAGTACCTGTCGTAAAAAGAGCTACAAAAACTGCGTGGTTAAATTGGTTCGATGTCGTTCAAAACGGCTTCTTGGTTTCCTTGGAGTTGGTTGGTTTTGGGTTAAGCTGGAGGCTAAAAAGTTACAGCAAAAATGACTTCTCTGACGTTGTTCCCGCTTATTTAGAGGAAACTTCTGACTTCATCTAGCTATGATTAGAGCCGAAAGTGGTCAGCTAATTATACTTGATGCCTGTGGAACAGATTTTTTAGAAGAACTTTTTGAATGAAACGCCATGATTTTTCAGGGTTTTTGTATCTACTGAACTTTTGTTTTATTTGCTGATTTATTTGAGGATGAAAAGCAATGTTTCTCTTCAATGATGAATTAAAGGTAGCTAGATGATGGATACCTATATCAAACGTTATAACAAAAAACGAGCAAAGCATGATTTCCTTAAATACTAGGGTTCTCGTCCAAAGTTAAATACTAGCAAGGCTGCTCGTATATCAGGGCAAAATCCAAGATGTTCTGACTGCCCTTTAATCGATATCGAATAGTTTTTGAAAAGAGAAAATTTTGAAAACTATAAGTTTTGGAAAATAATAAAGATCAAGTGTGAAAGTTTGAGTTGTAAGAAATTAATACGACCAATTAGCTTGCCTCAACTCAATTTGGAACGATTTTGTTGTGATTTTGGGATACCTTGCCACGCATAAATAGTTCGCATTACGCTTCCAAGATAATGGATTAGACCTTCAAAGCGCGCTGAAATAGTCCAGACCAAATTGGCAATTTTCAAACTTCCCAAACTTAGCAACAAATGATCGGAAGGAAATTATCTTTTTAAATTGCATTTAGGGGACTCAATATTTTCAATGGCATAAATTTTTTTAAAATCTATTTTTTCAATTGTCGAAAAGTGACTGAATAAAAAACAAGATTGCTCGTATCAGGGCAAAGGGTACTACTATGATAAGTGGTCCCTTCTTCAAAATAACCAGGTCCCTTGAGAATAAGACACCTAGAGCTCTCAAATCGTTTAACAATTATAATTTTGCCATTCAGAAAGATGTCGCAGTATATTTTCATACAAATTTTGTTTTTTTTTCTACTTCGTAAACCCCCCCCCCCCTTCCTCTTCATTTGAAGGAGGAAAGTTCAGAAAAATTGCCAAAATTGAGTTTTGATGATAAATAAGGTAACAGTTTTATTTTGAACACATTTAACACATTCTTTGAAATTCGGAACAAAAATCACACCTAGCATAAATATTCCGTTTTCTTCGAAAGTCGGAACAAAAATCATCTCAAAAATACATTTCATTTTTCTATGTTTTTTTTTTACAAAATTCAAAGTTATATTGTCTCAAACTATTTCAGCGATCCTGTTAGTTATTTTTATTATTATTATTATTTTCAATTCACTGCTCGTATGTTCCTCGGCTCATTTCTTCGACTTACTCGATTCCTTTTCATTTTAACTTATGTTGGATGTATTTATGTTAGTGCACACCTCCTATTGATTCTACCACAAATGGTCAAAGTTTCAGATAGACGAATGTGTAAGACTAAATTTGTAAACACATGACCCTAATTCAAAATTCTATGACTGGCAGTTAAAGAAGATCCTCCGCAAATTAAACGAAAACTGAATTCTGAATGGCGTTGGGCTGTCAAAATTAGGTTCACTCGCCCCCCAAAATTTAAAGAGTAGCGTGATATTTTAGAGAGTTTTGTCCTGTATTATTTTTGGGCGGTCTGCTTATTATTATGTTAATCTCTATTTGATATCTTCATTTATTCAGCTCAGCTTGTTTGGGTTTCTGCTTGCATCATTTTAAGATGAAGTTCATTTTCTGTTCATGCTAGATTTACCATCTGACCATTATTTCATTTCTGATGCGAAATGTTTTGTTATCATACCGTCTACAGATATAGTTTGGTATAACTATGGAATCATTTTCAAAGAAGACACTTTAACATTATGTTCTCTAGAGCATTGTCTGTTTAACATCCACACACAAAAATACCATATTCTAGGAACTTATTCATCAAAAACCTCTAAGCAAATCTGTTTTAAATCATAGCAAAAAATTTCATTTTCTTGTGAAAGTATTTAATTTTCGATTTTATTACTAACCCGAGATGCCTAGAGTGAACAAAGGAGTGCTTTACCTCTCCTCTGGAGCCTTATGCTACTCTCTGGGTTCTCTCTCCTTCTCCAAATCCGGCGCCCAATCCTCCCAAATCAACACCTGGGTCGGACTCATTGCCATCCCTGTCTGCATTCTCATTCTTTCACTTAACACACACTTTTCCCCCTTTTCTAGACGGAGAAGTCCAGATCTTTACTTAAGTATCCTAAATGGGTTCCTCTTTGGAGGAGCTGCAATATATCTCCACTTTTGGTCTTTGGAGTACCTCTTACCATCTGACAACAACATGGTTGTTGTCGCCTTTTTTATCTGCAGTTCAGTTGTGTTTCAAATTATAGAAGAAAAACGAATGCCTTCAATCTTAACGTTCGCTTCCGTTTTACTCGGCATTTTGGGCACATTTTTTGTGTGCAATCCAACAGATCTGTTCACCAAGAACATTCTCGAACTTGACAATATAAAAGGGGTTTGTTTAGTCGCACTCGCTGGAATTTCTTTTGGTTTTCTCTATTCGAGTGTTAGGAGGTATAACTCCGTTCCTCCAGTTTGGATTTGTCTGGGCGCTGCTTTCGGGAATTTAGCCAGTGGTTTGACCTCTTATAACCCTTGGAGCGATGCCAGTATGCAATCATGTGACCTCTTCCCGCGAATACTGGCTCTAATGGCGTCTGTTTTTCAATCAACCACTTTGTGCTCAAATTTAACAGGTTAACTGTTTTACACTTTGCAAAAGTTTTTTTCTAAAATGATTTTTTGTGAAATTATTCATCAAAATTTGGAAAATTTTTTCCATTTAAGATTTTTCGTTTTGGTAGAAAAATATTGAAGCATTCGAAAACTGTCAAGAATTATGCTTTTTTGGTATCTATTAGCCCGAAAAATTTGGATCAGTTTTATTTAAATTGTTTTTTTTTTAATTTAGATATATCTGTTTTGTGGTATTTCATAGTTGAGGTAGATTCTTTTTAGGTCAACCAACTCAATTTTTTTTAGCTCTCCTAAAACACTAGAAAAAGGTTATTAAAAAAAACAAAAAGCATACAAAATTGCCGTTTAAAAACTTTGACCAAAAAATTGCGTTTTTTCGGGCGCGCGCATTCGTCAAAATTTGCTTAAATAAATATATATGCCCCTTTACAAAGGACTTTAGAAAATTTTAAAGTGTTTAGTCTCGGTTGGTCGGCAAAAGTTGTCGTAAAAAGTACTAAAGGGAGACCTTTTGTGCGGCGAGAGTCGAATCCTTGGCGAGTGGGACGTTTTTCCCACCTACCCCCCTCTAAATCCTCCCCTGAATCATACCATTTATACACGTTTTTTCTAAATGTTACCATATCGGCAGGAGTGATGGAGACGGGCGTGACTGTGACGGCGGCAGCTGTGATCCAACTGCTCTCCCCCGTCTTTTCCTTCCTCCTCCAACTGGTCCTCTTCCCACACATAGTCTGGTGGAGAAGCGGGGTGGGTATCCTCTCTATCATTCTGGCAGTCATGGTGCAGCTGAGAGTGCTGAAGAAAAGAGAGAAGGAGATTGCGAAAAGTCAAGTGATTAGATCATGTTTAACTGAAGACATTCAATTGGTTTAGTCAATGAATGATATTGTAGAGTGCTTTTTGATTATTCTCTATTTGCAAATGAAAACATAAAATATGGATAGATGACCGCGAATACAATTCTTTAAAGTTGATTTTTACATTTGTACAATTGAATCTAAGGCCCACATCTAAATGGGCGAAAATATTTTGATAAAGCCACAGGGTTGTATGAAGGGGGTCAGACACCATTCCTTATGAAGTCGATCCCTCAAAAATCAGCAACCAAAAGGTACTTTGACCAGAAACTTATCATTTTCACTTTTGTCCCACTAGCCCTAGAAATTTTTGAAAGACACCTTGGGTGCAAAATTTTTGAAGAAGAGTGAACTAAAAATATCCATACCTTCCAAAAACTGGAAATTCTACTTGGTGAAATGTGTTCCTAAAAAATCTTTGCAAAAGTGTGCAACCTGGCAAACCTTTAGAAGTGCTGAGCACAAATCAGTTGTTTACAACAAAATTTTTAAGTACTGCAGTTCATTGATCGAATTGACTTACAAAACTATTACTACCTCTAAAGTTTTACAAAATTACTTCACAAGTTTTGAAAACTCAGCGATTTCACAATATTTTTTGCGCATTATTAGAAAAGAGCAAAACAACCATCCGATCTTTTAAAAAAAAACATTTTCGCATATATAAAAAAATATATAATTACACAGGTACACAGGTATCTTCTGATCTATAGGTGTCTCAGCCTATTTCGATCAGCTCCTGTTGTGGACGTCCAGCTCGTCATTCGAGAAAAGATGTATCGTACATATCCTTTCCTCAGTGTGTATCCAGCCTCGAGTTGATTAAACTGATGTGAACGCTTGAAATTACATAACCTGGTAGAGAGTTGCAATCACTTATGGCTGCTATAGTGAAGAATTTACTTCCTATATAGTTACGGGACTGTCTGGTTACCAATACAGGTTTTGGCGACCATTTAAAAGTTTTTTCTTGGAAATTTTTTTCATAACCTTCTTAGCACACTAGAGAAAACCATCCATTCAACCATCAGTTTATTTCTATGCTTTTAACGAAAATAGCTTTTTAACCAGTTTTCCTCGCATTTTGTAAAATTGTTTTTATGAATTCTCTTGTTCTGTTTTTTATTTTTGAATAAAATTTTTTATTGCACAAATGATAAATATTTTGGTTCGAAATATTAAAAAAATTAAATCATTTTGGCATCATTTGGTGATTAAATTCAGGTCAGTTTAGAGAAAAAAAACAGAGACTAAAAGTTGAGCAAACTAACAAAATATAGAATTTTTTAGAATGACAACGTTTTTTATTTACAGTTAAGTATGAGCCGCTCAAACAGGAAAAATTCCAACAACTTATGCTTTCAACTGAACCCTATAAAAAATGGCAACTTATTTCGATATCAAGTCAGAAGAGTTTCAGAAACGGTGAAAAAATCGTTTCCCAAAGCATAACGCATATTGTGCTAAATTCAGGAATCAACTACTCATGCAGGGATGATGGAATGATTGTCAAAACCTATTTTTTCAATTGAATTCTTAATCTCAGAATTGACCAAGTGATTTTAGGAAAGAAAAAAAAACTCAATTTTAAGAAAAAGTTTGCTTTTTTGGTTACATCAATTAGATTTTTCTCATTTTTGTCAATCAATCTGATAAGCATTTCAATCTCAGATTTGACAGTATAAACTCAAGAATTTGAATAAAATACACAAAATGGTCTAAGCTTTCAAAAAACGGGCTTACCCTAAGACCATAACGAAATCTCTTTTAAAAAGGCTGTTCTTCTGATTGAATTGATATCCTCCGAGTTGGCAGGAAGTTTATACGAAAAATGACAAAATTTCTGACATATATCAATGAACTCGAAAACTCTCAAACTTTGACGGTTTCTTTTTAAAATCTAAGAAACAGCCGCTTTTGCAGGAGAAATTGTTTTTGTAATTGAACACTCAATATGAAAATTGGCTGGTGTTTTTTTCCTAAAACTAAAACGGTTTTTTCTAAAATACATGCGCGTAGCTGCATATGCAAAAAAAAATCAAGAAATTTAAAAAAAATTCAACAGAAACTCTCATCTCATGTCTAGCACGGTTGTGAAAAAATAACTGAAATCTTGATAATTTATTCCGGTTCAAAAATTTTGATATCTTAAAGCATATCTAATTTTTTAAACTAAAATGAAGAATGAATCACTCGAGCAGAGATAAATCTCACAAACTAATATTTGATTGAAAACTTATTTTCAGAATCAAAATCAGGAAAAGGAAAAAGTTTCAAAAAACGTCCCAAATTTCCAAAAAAAGTTACCAGAGCAATGTAGAGAAAAAACAGTTTTCACAAGACTAGTGTAGTTATTTTTTTAATTGAGGAAAAAGCAGTCTTTGCTTGCGAAGTTGCAAAATTGTTTTACCCTGATGCAAAAGATAAATGCGCAGTTTTCAAAAAGTCAAAACTTCAAATCTCCTAGGTCCATAGCGGTTCCCTTCCATAGGGAGAGCCGCCCAAGATGTGGAGAATTCCTAATCTCTTTTCGATTGAACGCTTATCCTCTGAAAACTTAGGGTCAGTGTAGAACGAAAAAAAAAAGAGACTAAAAACTGAGTCGGAAAATAAAAACAACGTATTATTCAATTTCAAACAATTTTGCTTCTACAGCTAGGTATCATGGTTCAGAAATTATGGAAATCAGGGTTAAACCACTCATGTAGGAATGGTCCTCGCAGCTTGTTATTACGATTGAAACCTTAATCTAAAAACTGACTGCGTAATTTTTCTGTGCCATTTTCTTTTATCATAACGAGAAGATTTTCTCATTTTTCCCAATGATAAACAGTTTTAAAAACAATTTTAACTCGGATTTGATAAGGTTCATTTCACGAAAAGGAAAAAAAATCAAAAAAAAATGAATTAGGTTTCCTGTAATTTGGGCTTGTTATAAGTCCAGAAAAATTTCTCTCTGAAACAGGCTATTCTTTCGATTAAAAGCTTAATCTCAGGTCAGGCGCAGTATTTTTGAGGCAAAAGCAGAGATTATCAAAACACGTTAGAAAATTTGAAAAAAAAAATCCCAAAAGTAGAGTTGTTTCTTTTTTAAGATTAAAAAATAGCTTTACCGTGATGCAAAACGTTTTTGTCCTGATGCAAAAACAATTTCATATAAAATCTCTCACAGAAATTCAACACGATCTTTCGTTCCTGAAATGACTCAAAAGGAGGCGAGTATGTCGATATAAAAAAATAAAACCAATTAAGCCAAAAAAAAGATGAAACAAAAAAAACCAAACCGAGCTAGTAAAAATACAACAATTGTAAAAATCGAATTTCGATTCGACCGGATTTTTAAAAAGCTAAAACACTAAAGCAACTAAATTGAAATTTGTTTACAGCAAAAACAACGATTCTTAGATGTGGCAACAAAGCCGACAAAACAAAATTGTGGGCCTAATTATTATCTGTTTATATTTGAAACAGAAAAATTCGATTTGAAAAAACAAGTCCTGCTCAGATTCGAGTGTGCACGATATGATATAACAAGAAAATTGAATTCACTATAAACCAAGAAACCAACAGGAGTCCAGATGAGTTCTGTGAACAAACTTATTTAGGGGAAAAAATCTAATGCCCGATTGCAATACCCTTGCTTATCGCAACCGTAAGGAAATCTTTATTTAAAACTGGCGTTTTTCTTTAAGCAATGCACGTACAACATCTGCGTTTTAAAGACCATCTGCAAGTTCTATAGGATTATAACAGGTTGCTGTTTGCCGAAGAGGAGCCGGTTGTATTTAATTTTCATAGTTTTGGGGGTTGTTATCAATTTGATATTGAAATTTCACACAAATGGTTGACACAGAAAACAGCTCTATTGGAGAAGTTATACAAAAACTAATTCTAAAAAAAACAAGACTGCTCGTATCAGGGCGAAGCCCTGAATGTTCCGACTGCCTTTTAAGGTTTATGAAGCAGTAATTACATAAATATCATTAACATTGCATTTAAAATGTTAATGATATTTATGTAATTACTACTCCATAAACCTTCTATGAAATTACTTGAAATTTTCTCTATGAAAGTCTTGAAATAATTGAAATTTTTTCTATGAACCTTATTTGAAATTTTTAAATGAAAATCACCCCCCCCCCACCACACGCCATATAACGTACAAAAGAATAAATTTCGCTCCTATTAACTAATCAACTATGGTAAATCAGCTTCCTTGAACCAATTTGGAATGATTTCTAACACGGAAATAATCCTCCGCTTACGCGTTAATAGCGCGAAATATATCGCGCGTTAATTGACCCAAATTGGCCAAAATGGCAATCCTTAAATCTTCATAACTTTACAAAAAATCATCACAGGTGAAATATCTACCTTTTGAATGATATAAACAAATTCCATCAAAAATGGCTAGTTAAAAAGTCGAAATTTATCTAAAGAAAAAAACCCACCCCGAGCGCAAATTTTCCGTTACTTTTGTATCGAACGTCGGAACAAAAATTTGATGGACTGGTTTGAAGGCCTTCAATAAAATTAAAGCAAAAGCAAGAGTGGCTTATGCAAATAGAGGATAAAATGGAAACCGCCAATATCGGTCACAAGGAATAATAGGAGGTTTGTTTTGGAAGAGAGTTTAGCTGCGGAAAATTAGGCGTGAACCCTTTTGGCATTTAACGAAGACATGTTTGCAGATTTGTCATTTGGAATGCATTTAGCAAACTGTGCTCTGCTTATTATAAACAAAAAATTTATCCTGTTTTAGAGTGCTTTTGCGGTGTAACTGTTTGATCATTTCATACCAATTATTCTTAAGACAAGCTTTCAAATACAAACACTTCAGTCAGTCTAAGAAGATAATCCAAATTTAGACTGAAAAAGTGTCAAATTCATTTCAAGTCGAATTCGTGCCTTTTATATACCTATTCAATTTCTCAATCAATCATTTACAGTAACACACTAATTAAAACAGCCAAATCCGGAAATTTATTATGTTAAATTCATTCTTAAAAAATATTTTCAGAATATAAAAACGTTTCAAGTTTAGTGATGAAAATTCCAATTACGTGTTTTCAAGCTCCACCTCTCAATCATCAATTTAAATTGAGGCATTCACAAATACACATGTCTTGTGGTAATACTCATTCACTTACGCTGGCTTCAAAATACACCGTTCCAACCTGAAATTTATTATCTACATTTTTCACAATTTTCTCTTTTTTGGAAAATTTATCCGGTCAAAGTGATAAGAGCATCCAGTTTATCAATTCGGATCAGGTGTATTCATTTGTATTTTATTCTGTATGCGACCAATTTCAGGTCAAAAAATCAATTCGTATATCCCATTAACAAATATAAAGTTCTATTTTTATAATAAAAAGTACGCACCATTAAAAACATCACAAAAATCAGGAATACTTCATCATGATTCATTTTGATGGCCAACTGTTTCAAAATTGGTTGCAGTTTATTTGAAAAATAGACTTCGCTCACCTCTTCTAAAAACGTTCAAAATAAAAATAGTTCGACTGTTGACGCCTAGAGATATTTTGACAGATTATTTCATAGTATTACTTTTATTATTGATTCACTAAAAGGTTTCTTTTTACCTTGTTTTTCCCAAATCAAATTAAAATCAGTGTTGTTTCGGTTTATGAAGAGAAATATGATTTCAAAACGTATCACTTCTAATTATTTACCAATTATTTATCACTTCCTTAAATTGATCTTTACTTGCAGCTAATTATGCCATTTAAAACAAATTGTAGTTAGCTAATTTATTCTTCAAAGCTAAAAAAAAATTACAAAGTGCTATAAAAAGAAACAGTTTTTCAAAAAAATTGGAAAAAAAGACACAACCCAAAAAGCAGTTAGATAATCTAGTGAAGCTAATTTTCAAAAAAAGACCAATTGTTTTATCGGAAAGAAAGAAATGGGGTGGAAGAAAGTGGAGGTGGGGCTGAAGAGTGCCCCCCTGCAGAGGGGGGTGTACTTTGTGGGCATATCATGTGGGGGAGGAAGAGTGAGGGTGCTGTACATTGGCTCCACCCACACACAGAGTAACCTCAGGGCCACATTCCAACAGGTTAACTGTTTTGTCAACCAGCCAGTGGACTAACCCGCAGTTTAACTATTTAAGCTTGAATGATTAGAGTTCACTTAATCATGATCCCATTCAGTGATGGCTATCTCGCAAGTGATCCTCTTGCTTAAAAAATGCCAAAACTTTGAAATTTTTCATCGTAAGTCTCTCTGCTTAGCGAAGGAATTTCGTAGAAAATTCAATTATTTAGCGCTGTATCGCAGCTTTTATTTGGCAAAAGTCTGATTTTTTTTGCGTCGCAAGATTTTCTTAAATCATAAAAAATCTCCAAATCCAAAACTTTTAAATCAAGTTTCATTGCCAACGAAAGAGAACGAAACGTCGACTGAAACGAATGAAAGAAGACATCAATGACAAAAATGTCTCGTTTCAGCTGTTCAGTATCGGAGGTCAAACCCAAATTGACCCCTGGGACACGGAGTTGCGCTCCTTCCTGATTGGTACATCCCGAAAACACCTCCTCATAGACTGGGTGCCACTCAAGTTCCCCCAGGATGTGGTGGGGGACTACGTGTTGGACACTGTGAAGATGACAGGTTTACTGCCCAGATTCAATCCAAAGAGCGAATTCAGTTGGGCTAAAAAGGACCACCCCTTCCTGCAATATTGAACACTACTCAATTTTTAAACTAACTATTAAAAAGTATCTTTCAAATACTAGCAATTCATTACATTCGAAAATAAATCTATGACATACCTGTTTTATTAATTTAAATTTAAGTTGAAATTTTGAGGGAAAGGGCGCTGAATTGATCAAATTACAAATGGAGCCCGTATTATCTTTCGGTCAGCGCATCAGATAAGTCAAATTGTTGCAAAGGTGTTTGATGTAATGTGAACCAAAGGTTTTCGCGCAAGACTGGTTGCTTTTATTTTATAACGCTTAAAAAAATCGTCACTCTACTGAGCTCGAGCAAAACTTTTGGAGATTTCCTGAATTTTTTTTCCAAAAAAAATCATGACAAAAACATAAATTTTTTTTTGTTTTCTGCAAGTGGCATTAAGCGCGCCTGTCTGATACATATGAATACCCACTAGGAGATCCGAACAGATATACGAAAAAAAAACTTTTTCAAATGTTTTTCAAACATTTAGTGCTTTATTTTTTAACAAAAGCTATGATGAGATGGCGAGGAGGAGGAGAAACCAAGCTTCAAAAACTTTAAAAAAGTGTCTGTATCAGAAAAAAAAAACTTTAGGAGGATAGCCGGTTATTGTGCAAGTAGCACAAAATGTTCGGACAATAGTCTTTAGAAAACTACAGTTTAGAACGTTTTTTTTTCCAAATTAGTGTATTTTTTCTGCTTGGTGTGATAAAATGACCTTAGGTAAAAATATAAAATAGGCATATTAGACAGTCATACTATTATAGGCAAATTGCACAAAAAAATTTATAGAAAGATGACTAGAAAAATTATTTAAAAAATTTCAAAAGCTTTTGCAGAAATTTTTTTAAATTTTTTGAAGTTTTTGGTTCCCAAAATGAAGCTAAAAAAACTCCCAAAAACTAGTTTTATTTGCTTAAAATTTAATTTCAAGGTCTTCAATTAGGCATAACTCAGCTTGTACACCTGCTTGCTTGCTTGCTTTATTTGCTCGATTTATGACAAAAAAATAAAAAATTTCAAACGGGTCTTTCTCAACACTGGAAGAACTTTTTAGAACTGTTTTTAATGTGGTTCGAATCACAACTGAAAAAACTTGATTATAATATACCACTCAACCCATGCGATCATTAATTGTGCTGCTTGATTTTGCGTGGAAAACAAAAAGCAAAAAAAAACAATTACTAAAACACACCCGAGTACAAAGTTTCTCCCCATTTTCAATGGTCGGAACAATAAACCAAATTTGAACAAATTCTTGAGAGATAATGAGGTTTTAATTCAGTATTTGGATATGCTTAATTATCTCTGCCTTCCTTTTAAGAAAGGGACGGAAATTGTTAAGAAGATTAAACCAGCGAACTTTCAGAATTGGCCATTCAGAATGCAGCGAAAATCAGATTTAAAAAAAGCGCTCTTGTAAAAATTTGCTTCTTTGCTTAAAGGCGTGGAAATTCTTCAGTAGATTCCATAGCGGGGGAAATGTCAAGAATATCCCAGTGAGTTTTCTAAAATACACAGTTTGTTTCTATTTGTTCATTTACTGATAAAATTATATCACTGCAAGCATCTTACGTAGCCCAACAAAATTTAAGAAGGGCTTAACCTCCTAAATTGAACGCAAAATTGTTTTCTTTTACTAAAAGTAAATGAGGTTTTGTATGATGAAAATGAAAAATTTTTAGCAAAAAAAAACAAAAAAAAATAATTATACAAAGCTGAAAGAAAGATACCCTTGTTAAAAATTGTTAGGCCACATAAGAGGCTTGCAGTGATATAATATTGTCATTAAAAGGACAAGTAGGTTTGGAGTAATTTTGACTGACTTGTGGCAATGTATATGGTTTGGGTATATTTTTGGGGTGGATTTTTGGAACCGACTTTCGCAAAACAAATACAATGCACCATATTAATTCTGTTAAATTTTTAAACAAAATTGGTCTACATCGTTTTAGGTCTAAAATCAACCCAAGTTGAGAAAAACGCGTTTTCTCGTTTTTTTTTGAATTTTTTTTTCATTTTATCCGGATAAGTTAAACTCAGAGGCGACAAAAAGTTGCATTGATGAATGAACAAAAAACCAATAACTATGATTTACTTTTTAAATTAGTAAATGGAAGACACATAAATACCGAACACAATTACTCGATTTTTCAGAAGTCCTGACAAATTAGTTAAGAAACACAATAATTGTGATCTGAAAAAAAAAACTGAAAACAATTCTAAAAGAACACAACGCTACTGACAATGAGAAATTTTGCAAACCTTTCGAAAACCAATTCCAAGACATTTAAAAAAAACTAAAAATTTATTTTTTGTGAAATCCAAATAAAAAAAAGATAAAAAAAGAATGGAACACAAACAAGAACTATACACTGTTTACGTATGAAAACTGAAATGATTTTGAACAACTAAGAATCCATAAAAACGCTGATTTTCCTTTTTAAACAATCCAATCAGAGAAGACTAACCAATTGAATGAAAAAAATTGGTTTACCAAAAAATCAAACAAAAAAAACCAAAAAATAAAAAATCACAAGCCATCGAACTAACTTCAGAAAATTGTAGCCCAAAAACAGATCAAAAGTAGCTTAACGTGAGAAAAATCCAATACAATTTTTAATTAGTGAACAAAAAAAAGAAAAAAAAGATAAACTCGTCCAGCACTTCTGAACAAAATTATAGAAAAATTTGATATTGAAAATTTCTGATTTGATAACACTTCAAGCTTGCTGTGTTCCCGTTTTCAACATCCTAACACAATGAAACTACGCAAAACTGAATGAACAAAAAATAAGCAGGCAGCAACTCAAATTGACTTTGAAAAACAATAAACTTGACTAGCAATTTTGTTATAAATTCTCAAAAATTTTGAAGTTAATTACTCCTGAATTGAAGGCAATTCAAGCTTGATTGGTTCGCCTTTTTTAAATTGAAACAATTAGTTTTCAAAACAAAATAGGCTGAAAAGCATTGTGAACATATTTTGAATTGATGAAGAAAAACTTAACAGAAAAATAAACAGCAAATTGCGAAAGCTCATAAACAGAATTACCTACGCCAGAAAAAATTTGATCAATATAGCTGATTGAACAAACAAAAGCATAAAAAATAAAAAACAAAGTTATTTTGCAGACTGAAAAAAAAAAAAAATAAATTATTAAGGTTTTTGAAAAAAATTGAAAAAAAATTTCGAAAAACAATTCGAAAATATGTTTTTGTTTTCATTTTTGAAATTTTTACTTTTATTATAAAAGGTCGTCAGAACTGATTTAGAGTTGTCCATTTTGAAAGACTGCAATCATTTCTGTAAAACAAAAAGTAATTGAAAAAAATCATTCGGGAAATGAGCCGGCGGAATTAAAAACGACACTCAAGTGCCGAATTGGGACAAAAATTAACATTAAAGCTATTAAAAATAACAATCATAGAAGTCCGATACCTAATCTAACATGCACAAACTACATTTACCTCTACAGTGAAACGGAAGTCAAAGTATTTCTCAAGGAAGTCAAAAAATTTTCCTACAAACTATCAGCATTGTAAAAAATGACTCTTTCTAATACCAACAAAACACAGAAAGTTAAAGGCGTATAACTTGTCTAAATTTGAAATTTTGAGCATTATTGACAATAATTTTTTTTCTGGCAATTGCCTCGCCAAATCTGAATTTAAGGGTTCAATCGAAAGAAAAAGAGCAGACAATTTGTCTTCATAAGCAGCTACGCACTTAATACTTGCAGAAAATTGGTTTCGAATTGACTTTTTTTTGAAAATTTGACCATATTGAAACCAGTTTTCTACAAATGGTAAGTGAGTAGCTGCTTCTGCAGACAACACTTCTGCTACTTTTCTTCCGTTTGAACACTCGATTTCAGCTTTGGCAGGGTAATTGCCAGAAAATTCTCCATGGTCAAAAAAGTCAAAATTCCATATTTAGACAAATGGCTGCAACTTTTTCTACAAAACAAAAGCTTAGCCGTTTTTTTATGCAACGAGGATTCCCAGCACCTTTTTTTACGATTCAACAAATGGTTGCTAGAGTTGAACGCCCGAATTTTTGCGGGTTAGTTTTATAGAACAAATGCGGAGGAAATCCTATAACATGCTCTTTTGACTAATCTTTAACCTCAAATTGATGTCGCGATTGGAAAAAAATGGTAGGAAACCCTCTACTTATGAAATAAAAAGCCAACTGAACTTTAAAAAAAAAACAATCCAAACCGCGAAAAATCAAATTTGAGCGTAAATGCAGTTTAAATTTTCCTAAAAAATCATCGTGACCTATATGAAAAATCATTACCACCGTTAACACTCAGAAAACAATGAGATTGCAATTTGACAAAAATTTAAGCGTGACCAACAGCTTTCGAAGTGTTCATTGAAAATAAACACTATCAATCTAAGTAAGTGTTTCGTATTAGCTGATTGAAAATTTTTATTTTGCTTGACTGCGAGCAAATTCACGATCAAAATTTTATTTAACAAACATCCGAACTCCAAGAAACCGAAATCAATTAAATGACAACTTTTGAGAAATCGGCAGTTAATAGTTCTGAATTTCAAGAATCTTTGAATTATTATTTTTTTTCAAATTATTAACCAATCAGATGAAACTGGTTCAATAGATATTTTTTTTGTTACAAAGAGGATTCTGAAAACTAAAATTCACTTCAGAAACCAAAAAGCATTCGTTTTTTTTTTGCTTTATTAGCGTTTTTGTAATTGAGACCGGAATTTCCCTTTCTTCAAGCAAATGAATTTGATCCGAACTTGAAACAAATCAAAGGTCAAACCGCGAAAAATCAAATAAGAGTGATTAAATTCGTTCACCAACAATTAAACTCGTTCAAAATAAAAATCCTTCAAACCGATATTTTTGTTCATCAAACCTCTAAAACTAACTTTATTCTCAAAAATTAATGCTGATTACTAGATATAAACCACAAGCATAAACGTTTACACATTAGCTTAAAGTTGATTATTCTACAGCATCTAAGAAAGGCATGTTTCGTCATAATAACTGAAAACCTATTTGGAACGAAAAAACATAGTTATCTGACAGTTGGAAAAGTGTAATGAACGCAAGGAAACTGAAAAAAAATGACTTGTTTTTTTTTTTTCAAAAACCAACTTTTGAATTTCGAAGAAAAAATAGATGGCCCAAAAGCTCTTTGAATTTGTATAACAATTTATGATAAGCATTTTTTGTTAAAATTAACCCAATTTGGGAAAACTGGATCAATATGCAAAACTTTTAGTTCGCTGGGAAATCTGATAATTAATTTCCATTTGCGAAATTAGAAGTCGATCACGTTTTTCATGACCTTCACACTTTTCCTGTTCGATAATCAAATTCTTGAATTCAGCAGAGGAAATGAAGGACCTTTTTCATTTTAGCAGAGGAAATGAACTGAACTTGAAAAGAAATTAAGAGTCACACCGCGAAAAAATCAAATTTGAGCGTGAACAAGACTTCGAAAAAAAAACATTACGACCCACATCAGAATATTCAATAAGTTCATCGACTCTTAAGCAAAGAATTCAATGAAGCACATCCATTCAAGGAGTTTTTTGCAACCTATGACCATATTCTGGGCTCATTTATCTCACTTTTTAAAAATACTTAAGCCTTTACTTACAGAACAAAAGTCAAAAAATTGAATTTCGACGCATAACATAAAATGAAGACTACAAATTAAGGATAAATTACCACTCTACAGCATCAACAGCATTATTTGATAATAGTCGAGAAGATGTTAAGATTCTAGAAATGAGAAAAACAAGAGTATCGAAAAGAAGAGCTAAGTTTGTTGTGATATTATTTGATGTCGGAGAGGCCTTGTTTCTTCGCTTCTGTCTCGTAAATGAGCAATCGCCACAGTTTCACCACAAACACTTTGGCCTCGTCGTCCAACACCTACAAAGGCAATTACTTAATTAAACATATCGATATATCAGGTCATTGACCTGATCTAAACAGATTCAGTGATTCATGTTCCAAGCAATGGCGGATTGAAAAATGACGTTTCTCTCACGCCAGGAATTCGACCCCCAGTCCACTGAAGTGTCCCTCATTTGGTTCTAATTTACAGCACCAATTGTCGGTCGACCAACCATTTGAAACCCACCAACATACTCTAAATTTGAAGTGCCGAGCGCCGAAAAGACGTAATTTCTTGATCAAATTTTTGGCCCTTTTTCGGAAAAGGTCGGCTGCGGCGTAGAATATATATTTTTTTGTCTAACTAGGTTATTATTCACAGTATTTTGGAATATTTCGTATAGTCACAGTCACTTTGGTCGACTTTGAAATCATCCCCCCCCCCCCCCCCCCCCCTAGAGAAAATTCTAGATCTGCCCCTGACTCGCAGAAGAAAAGTAACTCCCCAGGTTAAGCAATCATTTAAAAATTATTAGTCCGTGATCATGTGTTGTATTATTAAATAATATGATTTATTTAAAAACAGCAGTTTATGCTCCACGATATCTTGTATGTCCTTATGAAGCCAGAAAAAACAACAAGTTCAAGTACTAGACTGACTAACCATCTGTACATCACTGAGTAGTACGTTCGGGTCTCCCTTGGCCTTGACCTTTCCACAGATGAACTCTACCAGGGTGGGCTCCTCGTCTCCTATATACTCCTTGATCTTCTTGTTCACCCACGGTTGGATTCTCTTCTCCATCAACAGCTACAACAATACGTAGATTTGGAAAATGTATTATCAAACACTTATAATATAAATGTATTATCAAACACTATAGAAAACATTTCAGTGTTCTTTGAATTTAAAGATCAAACTTTGATTGAAACTTTTTGATAAAAATAAATCATATAATAAAATCATCTTCGCTGTAGTGATTCATCGGATGATTTTATCGCAATTCATTGAAATCACTCGAGAACGCATCGAAAAGGCCTTTCTGCCTGTCGAGTGATGACTCTTAAAGCATTCTTCACGCGTTCGGTTTTAAACACAATATCGTTAGAAAAAAAACAGATTTGTCAAACTGTCAGATTTTTTTTTCCTTTGATTTTTAACTTTCCCGTTTCTTCCATTGATTTTTTGTATCACAAAAATGCTTCTAATAATTCTCTATTATCTGAAACATAAAATTCCCTCTTGGTTTCAAGATGAAAATTTCTTTCACTAAAGATTTATCCTACTGTACTAATTTATTAGAAAGCTTACTTACTGTTTGTGAGCATGCTTTTGTTGTTTACCTTGCTTGTGAATTTAACGTCTTAAGTTTCCCATTACGACTCAAATCTATTTCAGTATCTGTTATTCTCATATTAAATTTTTCCACGGTTGTTTTCTTCTAAGTAATTTAGCTAACAATTTTGTGAGATCGTACAAATGCCTTTCTTTCACAGTAAATGACTTATTTCGATCTCATAGGCCACGCACGTACACTCACGTTTTTTTTAGAAAACGGTATTCTAATTTATTCTCATAGTATCTATGTTTATTCTTATAGTATTCTCCTGTATTTATCAAACAGGAACTCTAGGCAAACTTGCCACGTATTTGAAACTCAAATTAGCGACTGAATAAAACTTAAGAAGCAGAAACAAGGCCGACAATCTTTGAGCAGACAGCAGTTAAGCCGAAAAAACTGATGATTTTGTAAAAACCTTTTAAAAATTTCAAGTCCCTCAGAAACTACCCTGTAGTCCTAGTAACCACCCTGCAGTGAAAATTGAATTTTCATGAAACTCAAAAGCATGTCAGCATCATAAGTGATTCAACTGATTTTGTTCAACTAGTTGTTAAACCGAAAAAAGTTCTACATTCTGATTCGATAACGCTTGCTAATCGCAAGCTTGAACATAGCGAACATACAGTTGGAAAAAAGTCAATTAATTTAAGTTAGTAGAAAAAAATACTGACTTGTGTTCATTGAAAAACCTCAACTTTCGAAACCTCAAAATGGATGGCCTTAAAGCTTTGAATTTCTAGAACAATTTATGATGGATTTTTTTTGAAATTTTTGTTTATTTTGCTGGGAAACCTAACAATTACATTCCATTTTCATAACAAGAAGTCAATCACGTTTTTAGTGACCTTTATTCTTTTGCAGCTCAACAGTTCTTTAACAAAAGACATGAACTGAATTTAAAAAGAAATAAAAAGTCAAACCGCGAAAAAGTACATTTGAGCCTGAACAAACTTAAGATTTTTCATAAGACTTCTTCCAGGAAAACTCAACACAACGTGTTTTCGCTACGTGCATTGACACAGATTTTTTTTAAATGGTGATTGTGTTTTTAAAAACCATTTGGCCCTTTGAACCCGGGAAACTAGCATCTCAACGTTTGTACTTACTTGGTCTACATTTTTGGTCTACATTTCAATGGGTACAAGTTAACTACTGGGGTTCTTACCTCATCCACTTTGTCCCAGTCGACTGGGTAGCTGAACAGTTCGGATCTGTCTGTGGGGATCTTGGAGATCAAGTCTTTCACCTTCTGCTGCTTCTCTTCCGGTGTCAGCAGAGGCTGTAAAATCAAAAGAGAAAATTATCCATCTGGATTTAAATATCTAGTCGCCTACTTCAGCAGCAACAGAAACGGATGCTCAGACATCGAAGACCACCATTCAAAATGCGACAAACAAAATCTCGCAATGACCATGAAAACACCTGATTTATTATTGCCGGTCTAGGGAAAATAATTTAATTCCCCTGCAAAACATGCTTTAAAAATCTTTGAATTGTCATGTAATACCTTTGCTGAAGGTGCAGGTGGCATCTCAGCATCTGTCGGTATCAGTTTCTTCTTCTTAGGCACATCATCATTGTCATCATCGTCCTCTCCGAACACAGAGGCAGTGACTAGTTTCTTCTTGCCACTTCTACTCTGCTGCTTACCCACTGATGTCTGCAGCTGGGCTGAGAATCCAGTTGAGGTGGCAGCGGAGGAGTTCTGCTGGTGGGCTACTGAGGGCGAGTTGGACCCCCCTGAGTGGGGGTGGTGTCCTGGCGAGTCATAGTTGGACACCAGTTGTTGATTGCTGGGCAGGTGGTCTCCTCCATTCATTGCTGTAACCATTGAAAACATCAAAACTTCCGCACAAAATGGACACGAACATCAGCATAATTTCCAATATTCACAAAAACTTCTTAGTAAAAATAATAACAATAATAATCATAAAATAATCAACCCATTTTCGAGCATTTCTTCAGTTAGTACACTTCGGTGGACGTCAAAAGGCAGTGTGCCTGTCCAGTACGACTCAGTTATTCATTTTCCTTTCTAATGGTGAGCAGAGTCCCTTTAGCAACTGGTCTGATGCCAAACCAGTTGAATATAAACTACGGCTTCAAAAACACGCAAATTTTCGAAAAGAAAGAACCGTCCCAAAATCTTTAAGGCCTTCAGAACAAAACTCTTCGAACAAAGTAAGCAAAGCGCCAATTGTTTCAATCCTTTTCACACAAGTATTGATATTCACTTGAGAGTTAAAAGCAAAAAGGGGTATTACTGCGGAAAAACAATGCGACTAACGGTGTCTGTTTGTTTGTTCTTGAGTGTGGCTGTGGTGACTTGGAGGTACTGCTGCATTGGACTTCTTCCCCAATTCAAACGACATCTTTTTCTCAAACATCGGCTGCTGCTGCTGATACTGCTGGGATGCACTGGCGGGCGAGTGATTTTGAGGAGTGTTCTCGTGTTGGTTCTGACAACAGAAATGACTCAACTCAAAGTGAGGAACCAGACAGCCAACAAAGAACTACTTCATCACTCATAACAATTTTCCATTGTTTTGCTGATAATGCTTCTTTTTAGTGATAAATAATGAAAAAAAAGTTAGTAAAAAGCAAACCGATCTGTATCCAAACTGTTTCAACTGTATCCAAAAATCGAGCTTCGTAAGATAATGAAGAATGAACTACTACATCAGTTTATTATATTTTTGATTAAAAAATTAGTAAGAACCAGAAACAGGGACGTATTAAGGTGGGAGGGGGGGGGGGAGAAACGCAGTCTTATCCCCTCTCTCAGAGTTTCAACCACACACACAGAGCCCCCTTTGATAGTATTTTAGGAACCCCCACCTCACACGATCATAAATTTTTTGGTGTAACGAGTGATTTTACAAGGTTGGTTATGAAAACCAAATATATATTTATCATGGCCTAATTAGTTTGCATTTCAATTTTCATAGCAAGGGGGCCTAAAAATAGCAAGGGGCCTAAAAATTTGGTGAAAATGGGGTCTTTATAGTGATTTGGAAGAGCTCTGAAAATCAATTTGGTTGACCAAAACTTTTGAAAACCCACCCCCACTTCAGTAATATCATAGGTCCGCCCCTGATCAGTAATCTTAAACAATATCAGGAAGAAAAGAGATGTTCAAACCAAACCACTCACCCAAGATGAGACTCCGTTCTGTTTGGATCCCCTGCTCATTGCAGTCTCATACTTCCTAGCCTCCTCCTCTTCCTCTTCCTCCTCGTTGTCCGGATGGTCACTCACACTACCCACATTACTCTCATTGCTGCCATCATTGTATGACTCCCCGTCCACTTCCCCCACACGCCTCTCGGCCCCTGTCTCTGCCCCTGCCCCTGCCCCTCCTCCTTCCGATCCATTCTCGTTGCCCCCAAACATGTCTGTCATGGCTGGGTGGGGTATCCTCTTTCCAGGGGACACCTGTTGACCTGATTCTAGTCTCTTGTTCATCGCTTTGAACGGATTGGAAGACTCAACATGACCTACAAGAACACATTCACATTATGCTCCAAAAAGATAGGACCTACATGTTGTTGTTGTTGTTTGCCCAATAGGACATCCATTGTACCCGATAAGTGTTTTAGTCCATCTGATGATATCATCGATTTCAAAATATCACAATCTTGACATATTGAAAGAACTTACCAAACGTCACAATTTACACTGAAACCCCAAATGTACAAAATTCTCTTTAAAAAACAGCCAAAATCACGCATTTTTAAAAAATGCTAGGAGATAAAAACAACATTTAGAGAGACGAGGTAGGGTCAAAACTACACAACCTGAAACGATCTAAAAGTTACTCTTTTTACCATCTCATCCCATCTTTCCAGAGCCTTCGAAACAAAAAGGTGCGAGAATCCATTCGTTTAAAATTACTTCAAAGACTCCAATAAGGCAAACAATCTAGCAAGATCAACAACATATCATAATCAAAAACTAAGTCTTACCTTTCTTCTTTTTCTTTTCCTTCAGCTCCCGTTCACGCTCCTTGAGGGGTTTGTTCATGTTCTCCTCAAACTCCTTCACGATCTTGGCCACTTCGCCCTCCGGGTCCGGGTTGTTTTCCTGCTTCAGTCGCTGCAGGATCTCATCCAACTCCTCCTTCTCCTTCAGTCTGTCTTTCTCGTCCACTTCCTTCTCCTTCTCTCTGTCTCGCAGACGACGCGAGAGGGCGGTGGATCTGAAGCAAGCGAACTCTATCTTTATACACTAGATACAGTCAGATTTTAATTCGGAACTATTCGCAAAGAACATATTGACAGCAAAAAAAGCAAATTTCTATTGTTTTAAATAATTCTGAGAAAGTATCAAATAGTATGCAAAACCGATAAAGTAGACTCAAATTTTATGTTTATTTCGGCCCATATTTATTGACATTTCAAATAATTTTCAAATTAAAAAAAATGCTGTAGTCTTTGAAAAAGTAATTGTCTTACGTGTAGAATCTGGGGTCATCTCTTTGGTCATCGTACTCCTCCAGGAACTCCTTTAGCCGCTTCGCTTCTTTGATCTGAAAAAAAAACAAAGCAAATATTTTCCAAAAATTATTTCAATCTCATTATTTGTAAAAAAAAAGAAAAAAAAGAATTAATCACTGATATCTCCATCTTTAATACTGGAGGTCAGAACTAAATTTCATCCAAGCTGAATTCTTATGCAAAGATATTGCTAGACACAACCCTGCATGAATGTGTGTCTAGTGTTTATACCTGTTCCTTGAGTCTGTCTCTCTCTTTCTCCCTCTCCTTCTCGGCCTCTCTGATCTTCTTCTTCTCTCTTGTCTCCCAACTCTTCAGTCTCTCCTGGTAGGCCGCCTCCTTTTCCCTCAGCTGCTTCTCTATCTTCTCCTGCTCCCTTTTATCCTCCTCCTCCTCCCTACTCAACGACTGCGCACGACCACCCGCCGAACTAAAACATTGCCGACAGAGTTGGAAAAGAGTCAATAAACGCAAGTAAAGAAAAATATTTGAAAAGATTTGAATAAAAAACTCACCTTTCGATTTTGCGAGAAAAAATAGATGCCTTAAAGCTTTGAATTTCTAGAACAACTTGTGATGGACATTTTTTGAAAAAAAAAGTAATCCAATCAAAGAAGACTGGATCAATAGGCAAGTTTTTATTTGGCTGGGAAAACTAATAATTAAATTCCATTTTCGAAATTAGAAGTCAATCACGTTTTTTGTGACCTTTACACTTTCGCTGTTCGAAGGAAATGAACTGAACTTCAAACCACAAAAAAGTAAATTGAACAAAATTTAAGACTTTTCCTGAAAATAAAACGAAAAAAGTCATTACGACTTATATAAGATTTGAACTACGTTCACCGTGTCTTACAAAATTCAAACTTCTTTGCACCATAATTTTGAATTTAAAAAACTCTCATCGCCAAGGAAGCGCTCAATGAAGCTCAAAAAACTAGTTTTTGCTTAGTAAAAAAACCAAGCTTAGTTTTTAGCATAAAAGACCAATTTTCATACACAGTGGCTGAGCTGCGCTTCGCAAACACTAGTGAGAACAGATGTTATGAAACTTCTAATGCTACAGATCGTGATTATAGCATAAGTGCCACCAAATGAGCATTTTATTTGCAACTTCGGTTAGAAAAAAAGAAGGTTCATAATAATGCACATGGTCTTTCCCATTTAGGAAAAAGGTCTAAACAGCTAGTTAAATTCCAGATAGCTAATTTAATAATTTAATGCCCACTACCCATACAAAGGCGAAGCTGTACAAAGGCCAAGAACACAGCCGGTTAAGAGGCGAAGCTTCACTTCGCAAACAGTAGCGAGAACACGACAAAAAGCAGCCGTATTAAGTGCAATAAGAAATAAGCCACGAATTAGTAAAAATTCGGCTACGCTCTTTCATTTGCAAATTAGGTAAGAAAAAAGAAGGTTTGTACTTATACACTACGCTGATCGCTAGTGTAAACACGACTAAAACACAAAGGCGAAGCTGCACTTGCCATACACAAAAGATAAAAAGGTGAAAAGTATCACGTAATGTCTACGCCATTTTCGCTCGACAATCGTCAAACACTAGCCACCAATAGCAGATAAAAGAGATGCTATTTGATTGACGATGCCATGCCAGCAAAATTTCCACCAAATGAGCAATTTTATTTGCGAGTTGGGTTGAGAAAAAACTGGACTCCGTAATATAACACTGCTCGCTAGCTCTATGTAAAGACACGCTTTCAGTACATATAGAAACACATAGCAGGATTTAACTCACCGTCTATCCCTTGACCTAGAGTGGGACCTTCTTCTACTTCTATCTCTGCGGTCTCTGTCTCTATCCCTGTCTCTGTCTCTGTCTCGCTCCCTCTCTCTTTCCCGCTCCCTCTCCCGTTCCCGTTCTCTCTCCCTCTCCCTCTCTCGCTCTTTCTCCCTTTCTCTGTCCCGCTCTCTCCTTTCTTCCTCTCTCCTCCTTCTGGTCCGTTCTCTGGACGGAGAGGGAGAACTGGATTTGTCTCTTCTCCGTCTGGACGAGGAGGGACTTGACTTCTTTGAGGACCTCTCACGAGACCTAAACAAACAAAATATGACTGTCTCTGAAACCTTTTGTTGAATTAAAAATGACCGTTTAAATTGAATAGATGACGGCAGAGGTTTCTGATACCAAAATGGTGTAGATAGCAATGATTTCTCTCGTCGATGGCTTCCGAGCTACTTATAAATAAGGGAAGGTGAACACTTATAATGACGTTTCCAGATTATGTTATGAAACTATGAATCACATGTGCCATCAACTTACTTATCAAATAATACATACCGTTTCTTAGGCGCGTCTTTCTCGTCTCTATCCTTGGACTTCCGCGACTTCTTTTTCTCCACTGCCTCCGAATCACTCGCCTCTTTATCACTGCCCTCCTTCAGTTTCTGTCTCTTCTTAATCTGACGATCAATCTCTTCTTTATCCGGACCCTCGTCATTCTAAACAGGTCCAAAATTAAATACAGCGAACACTTCAAGAAACATCTTGCAATCTCCTATCAAAAGATGAAGAGAAAAAGACTACAAAAAGTCTAGAAAGTACATGTAGGTTGGAAGGTTCAAGGGTTGGATTTATGTTCTAGGGACTCCAAAAAAGACAAGATATTTAGTAATGCAAAAGATGCCGATAAAAATGGAATTGGGTATAAACTTTGCTAGGATTCTGTCAACTTCGCAGCTTTCTCGCCCACGTCTCTTTTCTTCTCTCTCGTTGTTCCCCAAAACTGAATGCAGGATGATGTCGCCTGAACCACGCCCACAAGAAGGTTCAAATAGTTGCGTGGATGAACTTTCATTTCATAGCGAGTTTTGATTTGAGTCCTATAAAGCATTCACAGTCCACAAAACGTCTTCTCTTTCCACAACTCAGGCCGTTCACTTATTTATTTTTGGACTCTGGAACGTCTTCATAAAAGGCTCTCATTCCTAATTTAGAGAACTTGATTCTAAGTCAAGGTAGAAGTTTACTTCGGATACTTATATATTAGATAAAACAGTTGCTTTACACAGGAGGCACAGAATTTTCATAGCAGAATTTTGGAGAAAAATAACAAAAACGAAAAAATGAGGTCAAACAGTAGCGAGAAAACGACAAAAAAAGGCAGCTGTATTAAATTTCAAACAAAAAAATAATGACCCTAGATCTCTGTAATTTTCAAGATCAAGTTATAACTGGCATTTTTTTGATGAATTTTAACCAATTCGAGAAAACTGGATTATTAGGAAAAGTCTATATTCCCCAGGTAAATCTAAAAATTAAATTCCACTTTCGAAACTAATAATCGATCAAGTTTCTTCGCGCCATTTCTGCTTTCATAATTGGAGAAGGCATTTCGCCTAGCTTCTAGTAAATGAACCTGCATTGAACTCAAAAAAGGCATCTACACCTAAGGGCGTTCCTATGTGCATTCAAAAGTATGAATGCACTTCTTTTGTTATTAGAGCATTTTAATACGTCCTAAAAAATCATCACGACAAATATAGGAATCTCAACTACAGCTGAACGTCAAATTAAGTGTTTTCCTTGATCCAATTCAACGCTTCTTTAATTCTAACCCAACGGACAGACATTTGGAAAAGACTTGAATTTTTTCAGTTTTTGTTTCAACCATTGAAAGTGGGAGGAACTTCGTCTTCGTGTGCGTTTCAGTTTTTTTTTTTCAACTTAATTCCATGCATAATCAGTCGAGTGATATATAACATAAAAACCGGTTACCTTGGCAAGTAAGAAACAAAAAAATATACTTTTTTCGTTTTATTTTCAAATTCATTTTTTGACAGCAATTAAGTCGACTATGTCTTGTTCCTCTCATCACGAAATTCACCAAAATGACAAAAATTAGCAAAAATATATAGTTTTTCTTACTTTCGTTCGGAATTTTTTGTGCTACTTGCACAGCAACTGTTTTTTCTTGTTTTACATAGTTTTTAATTGGACTGTAGCTGAATCAAAACGCATTTATGTTATGAAAAAGATGTCAAGCAGCAAATTCAGGGGCTATATATATATATATATATATATATATATATGTGTATATGTGGAGCTGAACAACAAAAAATAAACTTTGAAAAAGTTTTGAAAATCAAAATACTGACTACTTGAAAAAAAAATCAATTTTCGATTTTCAAAAAAAAAAGCTGTTCTTATTTCGAGAACAATTCATGGCTGACACTTCTTTGCTAAAAATTTTTTGACACTTTTTTGATAAAAAGTCAAACCGCAAAGATTAAATTTGGCGTGAATTTTTGCCTAAAAAAACAACAGCAATCAACTCGGCCATGACACTTAATTGTCACAAATTTTTATTTCGAACTAAATGCATTGTTTTAAAAACACCACTCTCGACCGTTAAACCGCATACTACAAAACAACGAATATTTACGTGAACTAAATGGCAGCTAAAAAGCTATGTGCGTAGCTCATTTACATAAAGATGCCAATCTGCATTTCGTCAACAAAAGAAAAAACTGGCAAATGGCAGCTTCAAAATGCAAAAAAAAAACTAAAAAAAATTAAGGTTTAAAAATATTACTTCTACGGGATTCGAGCCTGATGTCTTTACAACGCGCCCAAATCTCGTACAGTCATCAAAAACTATCACCAATAAAGCGTATAAAACACAAGCTTTGAAATTTCCACTGCTATGAGTGCTAAATTATGCAAGTTTGGTAGGAAAAGTAAACTCGTAATATAACACACGTATTTGCTGGTTCGGTTATGAGTAATTTCTGCATCACTGAACAACTCCAAGACGCGAGAAAAATTATGCGCTAGAAAAATAAGAATTCTCCCATCCTAGATATAGCGTCTTTTAGGCTTCGATAAACGGAGATAAAGCTCGTATATATTTGTTCAAATTGACAATAATCGGGACTCATTTCTTTTATTTTTGAAGACGGATTATAGATAATCAGAAAAAGTATTAAGTTCTGAACTATTCTTAGCAACTTTTTTCTTCATTATTTTTTTCCGAATTTTATTTAACTTGAGGAAACACTTTTTATTAAGTTTTACTTTGCTCGATTTACCCATGAAAAAACCATGGCAAGCAGTTGCAAAACAAGCAGATATTCAAGGCTCATTTTGGCAAGGCAGAGAACTGATTTCAGAAACAGTGTGTTTCAAGATAACCTGAAAGTAATAGCACGAGAGCTCATTTTTTTAATTACTTTGCTAATCAGAACCTTTCCTTAATGCGTATAATGGGCATAATCTTTATGAGCAAAAGATGCAAATATATTTCGAATTTTAAAAGAATCAAAAATTTATTGAACACGTACATCTCGTGCCGGTTTAATTTTTATTCCAGATTATTGAGAAGATAAATTTTGGCTTATCGTTGACGCTGTCGAACAAAAATGTCTACTGTATTGCTTTTCACTGGTACTCACGGAGCCTAATGGCTCAATCTATGCCTGTGAGTTGATCGAGCTAAAGGTGGAAACGATTTGTAAATCAGCAACTCTTCAATCCACAATAATCCAAACCACTTTTTCCACATCGCCCACAAAAAATCCACTATCCACTCTTTGAAAATCACTTTTCGCCCACAAGAGCACAGCGTCCACTTTTGAAGTCCACTCGACGAGATGAGAACTTAATTCTTATAATTACATGTGAAAGGCAGTTACCTTCTGCCAGGCCAGAAGACCAAAACTTAACTTACGATTCATGCACGACGAAAAAATCAAATCCCCACCCAATAAAGCAACAAATCACGACACTTCCTAAAAGAAAACAATGCTTCTATGGCTACTATAGGGTCATTCTTCCGTGGGATTGGGCTGCGTAAGTGCAGTAACAGTTTAATGTGAGTTGTAATCAAACTAACCTTGTGAGTTTCTCTAAATTTAGAAATTTCTTGACTTATCAAGCTTTTCTTCGAGTCATCCATGTCTAGTTCTTCCACGTCCAATTTAGGGTTCCTGGCAGAATACTGGTATGGCTTTAGGGTGGGGATCGTGGTCACTCCCTCTGAGTCGTCATGGCGGTTCTCCTTGTTCTTCTTCCGACTGTTCTCATCTTCGTCTCCAGAGTCGTCTGACTTCAAATCTGAAAACCCAAGAAAAAACTGAATGCAGTACAATAATCAACGAAATGAGAAACATACGACTACTTCAGTCAGGTTCTCGCGATTGACCACAGTTGATCCATTGGTTGCTAACTGTAGGCAAAACTTTAATTCGCCTTTTTTTCGGCTTAAAACACTTCCTCGATCTCCAGAAGCAACCAAAACTCTCTTCGAACTACTGAGCTTTCTATTGTACATAGAAAAATCAGCCATCTCGTTTTGACTTCACAGATCTCCCATTTTTTCTTCTAATTGAAAATAACTTACTGTGCACTCTCATCTTGGCGTTTCTGAGAATGGCCACTATGGCCTGCTTCACACTCTTGTCCTGCTCCTCATCTTCCTCATTTGTCTGAAACAACAAACACATAGACAGACAATCATTATCAGCGGATTTAACCTTTCCACTAGCACTAGTTCAGCAGTTTTAATCTTTTGATATTTTTATCGTGTCAAACCGCAAAGCGACTCCAAGTCCCCAATTCAATAAAAATGAACTTCGAAATGGGTTGCAAAAATTCTGTGGGTGACATTCTCCCGGGCAAAGAAATCATCAAAAACTTCTTTCTTTATTGCAAGTTATCTAAAGTGAACTCGGGTAGAATTTCCATTATCGAGAGTCGAGTACGTTTTCTTGTCTATACGACTATAGGCTGCCTTTGCTTTTGACTTGAATTTGTGTGTGGAAAGGTGATAGAAATCGAATCTTCGAAGCTTGCCATATCCTCGGTGTTATAGTGAAATAACTTTTTGAGGGGTTCAGAATCGAGGTTCGACATGGATTAAGCAACGTCTATTTCAGAACAATTGACGACCAGCCGAGAACCAAAGAAGTCCTCAGAGCTTTTAATCATCGATTCAAATTTATGCTTCAAATTTCAAACACAGATTAATTAAGAGAAATTTCTTATGCAATTCAGAGGCAGTAATAATTAAAGTCACTCAGTTTATCTCAAATGCAGTTAAAAAGCACTCAAGAAAAATGGAAAAACTGGGCAGGAAAAGACGCCAACTGTAAAGAGTTAGACTACCACAAATCTTGAGGCGCTAACTCGAAACAGGCGACAATTCGCACAAGTGACAACTCGTAACAGTAGATTAAGCGAGCAACACTGAGTCAATCACAGTATTCCTCTCGTGCCGTATGTAGTAAGCGCATCGGAGCACGCGTATGCTATTTGCCAATGCCAGGTTACAAATCGTCCTGTTTCGAATTGTCGCCTGTTACAAATTTTCGCCTGCTACGAATTGTCGCCACATCTCACAAAACGATAGCTACTAAATTGTTCTTTTCTTGAACTTTTTTTCTAGTAATAATTATGATGCACCAATTCGTTTATTTTTCTAAGTTGCCCGGTTGCCCAAATGTAAAGATGAGTTTTTAAATAAATAATTGTGATTTCTGCGATTCGGAGAGGATCTATGAAAGGCTATCCAGCCTGTCTAAGCATAGTCCGTTTCTCTAATTTCCACATCCCTTTTTTGCGACTCAAGGCCGTTTTTTGCGTCTAGAAGTTTCACGTGGTACCACTATTGCAGCCGTAATCGGTCAGGCTGTGGTAGACCTGAAGCTAGAAGTCAAGTGAGTGCTCGTCCTCGCACACTATCATTTCCATGGCAGGTGATCGATTATCGAACGGGAATTAGTCCTGTAAAAAATTTAGTGGGGGGAACTTTTTACTTCAAGATTTTGTCCTGGAGGGCTTAGACCGCGAGCGAATCACTTCGTTAAGATTAAATTAGGTTTAGTTCTCTTATGAATAACTACTGAACAAAAATTGATGTGCAATATTTACTTACATCGTCTTCTCCATCCTGGCCTGTCTTGTATGTCTCCAGGTAGTCCCTAGTCTTCTCATCCACCTTCACATTCAGCTGTTTACTGCCCACTTCCAAGTTGTGCAGCATCTTGATCGCTCTGATGGCCGACTCTGGGTCCTGGTAAGTGCAGAAGCCAAAGCCCTGCAGTTTTCCAGAGGAGCACTTGGCTCGCTTCCAGTTTGAGATGTAGCCACATGTCTAAGGATACACAGTAATTAGAAATATACTCTCCATGATCTATTCAGTTTTACCAACTAGCTTTTAGGAGTCACAAATTGGAGTTGGTATTGTTTTTTTTTCGTCGGTGAGTTTTTAAGTATAAGCCTCTTTAAATTTTCATCAGAAGCTTTAAAACTATAGCAATGATTTTGAAATTTCACTTTGCAAAAGCTTTCAGCGATACCAGAACTTCAACCAGATGGCAAAACTACGATTTCGTTTTCAACTGAGCTTCTACAAACGGAACTGATATGATTTTTAGTAGAAGAATTCGAGAGGATTTGAATGACTCACATTGAGCATGGCTCTGATCATGTCGTCGGGGGCTGTGTCGCATATGTTGCCCACAAACACTGTGGACTCCTTCGCTGCCTCTCTGGTCGGCGGCTGGGTGATGGGAAACATGCCTGGTGGAGGACCCACTGAAACACATCACAAATTACTAGTTAGAAACTGAAGCCAATATTACCACTATAGTCGAAGTGTCAGATTCAATATCATATTATCTTCAGAAAAAATTCAAAGAGATCTTTTGAATCTCGTTTCCACCATTATTGGTTCTCCACTCAATTATAAATTGATGTCCAGTTAGTCTCATCATAAATCGAGAGACAATGTACCTGGTCTCATGTTGAAGTGCGGCTGTATGCCTTGAGGAGGCGGGTACAGCAACGGGGCAGTCTGGTAATGCGCTGCCATTCAATCTGAAAACAACACCATTTTTAATACACATCGCAAATTATCTCAAACCGGGAAAGCAACGCCAAACAAGTCCCGAAAACTTCTAGTGTATGCATAATTTTAATGAGCATATTTGACCGCAATGATGTTTGCGATTAATCTTCACTGCTGCTTGCATTAAATTAAGCACTTGACTGGTCTTCTATTGATAAGCTGTCTACGACAATCAAGTCTTCAATTCAATAACAAATTAATTTAACTACGAAAATCAAGTTTTGACAAAAAGATAGATTTTTCAATCTGTTTGCTGTACATATTGATTACGGGGCTAGAATCTTTAGAGACACTATTAGCGAAAAAACGGACTATGATCAATCATTGATAGCACCTTGACTTCGTCCGAAAGTCTTCGGCATCTTCCTACTTGACGCATCTTCTAGATCTTTAGCTTGGTAGTAATGTGGGGCAACTTCCAACAGCCAACTCGTTTCAACTACACTCACATTTCTCATAAACTCTTTAGACGTAAACACCAATTCATGGTACAGAACACATTTTACAGGAGTTTCTTGTTCAAACAAACAACTATTTGGGTGCACGTGAACTGTTTGCTGGTGTTTCATAGTTTTATACGTTCCAGTTTTACCAGCTAGTCTTGCCGTGTTGTAGAAAAATCCAGATGTTATCGCTTTTCGGATCTTGACCGAATCGCCCCCACTTGATTCCAATGCTATTTCGACTCTTTCCATTAAGCCTGCTAGTTGATCCCGCACGTCTCTCGCTCGTTTCATGCTTCGATGTTGAATGAAGTTCTCAAAGCACCATTGTATGGAATAGTCTGTATCTGCCCAATTATTATACACGTTGAGTAACGTCAGATGATCTCCATCTGGTGAGAAGAAGTTCCTCCTTGCATTATCAGCGTGAACAACTTTATCTTTTGGTCTGTAAAATATGCTTTGATTACTTGACATCATTGCGGCAACAGTTAGAACTTCTTCGGAGCAACCTTGTTTCTCCGAAGCAATTATCATTTTTGACATCATTGGGTCGACTGGAAACTCAGCCATTCGTCTTCCTAATTTGGTCAACTCCCCTTTATGATTCAAAGCACCCAATGCATAAAGTTGTTCCAACGCAAGTACTAAAGTCTCATGCGGCGGCGGATCCATGAAATCAAAATTGATCAAATCATTGATTCCAAGACTCTTCAATAATAAAACCACATTTCCCAGATGAGTTCTCTGTATCTCTGGAACTGTAGTTGTTTCCAGTTCGTTCTTATATGCCCATTGAGTGTATAATCTGAAGCACTTTCCAGGGGATACCCGACCGGCTCTTCCCGCTCTCTGATTGGCTGATGCCTTGGAGCAAGGCACCACTACAAGGGACTCCATTCCAGTCCTAGAATTGAAACTCTTTTGCTTGTTGAACCCTGGATCTATAACGTACACAATACCATCGATAGTTAACGATGTCTCTGCAATGTTAGTAGCCAAAACCACCTTTCGAGCGTTTTTAGGAGTCGGCTCGAAGATTTTCGCTTGCATGTCAGAAGGCAAGTTTGAGTAAATAGGCAACACAATCAGTTCTTTTATTCGTTTTCCAAGCTTCTTAGCTCGTTCACTTAAAATTTCCTGGCAGCTCTCAATTTCTTCTTGGCCTGTTAAGAACACTAGAACATCGCCAGTAGGTTGGGAAACATGTATTTGTAAAACAGTTACAACAACAGCGTCAATATAATCAGCTTCTGGCGCTTTAGTGTAGAAGATATCAACTGGGAAACGACGTCCCGGAATCCGGAAAACTGGTGCATCGTCAAAGAACAGTGAAAACTTTTCGGTATCCATAGTTGCCGATGATATCAGGAGCTTCAAGTCAGGCCGGAACCTTGCAATATCTTTGACCAGACCGAACAAGACATCTGTATGCAACGTCCGTTCGTGCGCCTCGTCAATGATAATCACACTATACGAAGCCAAATCTGGCTCGTTTAGAAACTCTCGCAGTAACATTCCGTCCGTCATGTATTTAAGAATAGTTCGTTTACTGGTGCAATCTTCGAATCGGATTGAATAGCCCACTTCGTTTCCTAATTTCTTGCCCATTTCTTCAGCTACACGTGCTGCCACACTCATTGCCGCAACTCTTCTTGGTTGCGTGCATCCAATCATTTTACCCTCTTCGCAGTATCCGGCTTCGATTAAATACTGTGGAATCTGGGTTGTTTTTCCACTTCCAGTTTCGCCCTCAATCACCAACACTTGGTAACTAGTCAATGCGTCGACAAGCTCTTTTTTAAATTTGAAGATCGGTAGACTTTCTCTCGTTTCTTGCAACGACATCTTCTTAAGTTCTTCTTTACTTATTGAAGGCTCCATTTTTTCATCGGAACCAGGGATTGTCAGTGTACTGATGAAATCAATTTGGTCTTCAATTAGAAGATCGTAATCTTTAGTTTCAACTTTTTTCTTGTCTTGCGCCCCTACATTGATTAAGGCTTGTTTAATGTGATCTTCCTCCCACTTTTTACTTTCATTGTTGAAACCCGAATCATTCGCGTCTAATTTCTCCTCGAAGAAGTCTTGATGCAATCCAATGTCATCTTTAGGCACAAAATATCGGTTCACTTTTTCAATGTCTTTCGCTTTCTTGTGGCTATTCGCCAATTGCAGAATCTCTTTCTTATACTTTAATTCTTGGCGTTCTTTGCTAGTTAGAGTGGCTTCTCCGAACAAATACTCTTCATCTTTAACGTCAGCTTCTAAAGCGTCCAATTGATCTACTTCTCGCTTTTTCAAATAATCTCTCCGACTTTTCTTTCGTAAATCAGTCACAAAATTTGAGACATCTTCATTGTCCATGTTCTCGTATATGGCTCTAGTAGGGTCTTTAGCATCGGCCATTTTCTTTTTCGTTTTCTCTTCATCTCGCTTTTTCAGTCGAGCTGCAAACTCGTCTCTTTCTTTTCTGTCTCTTTCGAGCAGTTTTCGTTCTTCGTCCGAGTCGCTCAAATTGGAAGCTAACTCTCTGTCTGGACTCTTATGCGTCTTCTTCTTTCGTTTCTTTGATCGGCTGCTACTTTTTGAGGACACACTTTTAATATCTTCCTCGTCACTTTCTATCATTTTGTACACCTTTTTCTGAACTGGTGCGACTGGAACTACAGGCTTCACCAATTTTCTCTGACCAACACGATCGTGTAACTCTGATAAAAACGATTGCAATTTGTTTACATTTTCCACTGCTCCTGATTTCTGAATTTTGTAAGTCAACTCATCTGCGCTCTTCGATTTTTTGGCCATTGACAGAAAAAACTGGCATAATGTTTTGTCTCCAATGTTCAGTATTTCGTGAAGCTTGTCTTCAACCCACGCCTCATGAGCAGCCATATCGTCTAAAAAGCAATCAACAAGATTAATTCAAGCAAAGTTAGCGCATTATTGTTCCGAACACTCCCGAAAGGGTGTTTTAATGCACTAACATTTATTGTTCAGAAGTTTGAAAGTGGAGAGAAGCTTTTTATTCGGGCGTGCTTTAGTTTTTTCTATTTTGTTTTCCACGCCATAATCGTCGGAAAGAGTCGAATGATATATCACATTTAAACCCTTGCAGTTGTGAGTCGAACCCTATTACGAATTTTCAAAAAATTTACTCAGTGTAGAGAAAAACCGGATTAAAAATTTTGATTGAACGTTTTTTTTGAAAGGACGTAAAAACGTTTCACTGAACGAAAATTACATATTGAAGCTTCTTAATGCCTTCATGCCAAAAAAACAACAAAAAAAAATCTGCAAAACATTTGAAAAAAAAATTACAAAATTGTTTTGATTTTGTTGTTCGATTAACTTTTTGATAGAATATGCTGTCAAATATGCGTATAGTACTCTTTCTATCGAATGTACCTAATTTTAGGATTTCGTTCAGATCAACAGCAACAGTCCCGAAATTTTTTCATATGACTTATTTGCTCTAACATATTTCTGATGTAAAGAACAAAAACGCAGAGGCGAAGCTGAGCTTCGCGCCAATTTCGATACAAAAATGAAACACTAAGATTAAAATCAAACGGAAAAAAATAGATAGAAAAAAAAACTTCAAAAAATCGTTTCGTCATTAAAAATTGCAACAAAAGCCCAAAATATCAGAAAAAAATTACCTGTACTTTTAGAAACTATGCCAAAAGCTTTCCGAATGATAAAAACAAGCCGAATAGTCAAAAACGTCCTTTCAGCGGAATTAAGTCGACAACAGTAAGCAGACAGAGAATAATCTAGACTAGCCGGAAATTTTCAGTTTGCAATAAAAAACAGGTCTCGACTGGAATCGAGCTCCCGGGCTTTGAGGTCTCAAGCATGGGTGTTACAGCAACTTCGAAAAAAAGTCGGGATACGGGAACTAAGCCGACAAAAAAACAGACGGACGATAGTCAGAAAAAGCAGTTAACAAAAAAAGGTCCCGGCCACAAAAAAAATCGAACCACAAGCCATAGTCGGTAGATGGTTGATTGAAATTGAATTTATAATAACCAAGCGGCAACAAAGCCGAATATACCTGAGCAGAAACCCTTCAAGATAAAAAAAATCAAACTAATAAAAAAATTAAGTCCCCTCAGGACAAACAAATTTAAAAAAAAAAACTTAACAAATCGAGATGGTTAAATTACAACCTATTCAAAAAATTTCGATTAGGCCGGATTTTTGAAATTCTAAAACACTAAAAGCAACTACAATGAAAATTCTTTACAGCAAAAATGATCGATTCTTTGATGTGGCAAATAAGCCGAGAAAATATAAGCAGACAAATATTAGACCGACAATTTTATTTGAAACAGTAAATTTGTGTATAAGAAAAAGAGAACCTGGTCAGATTCAAACCTAGGACCTTTACCGTCCCAGGCGTATTCGTTACCTCTAGACTAAGTGTGCAGGAGGCACTAATAAACCTGAATCCATTATGCAACAAGGTACCAACAAAAGTGTTGAGTCCTGTGAACAAAGTTATTTACGAGAAAAAAAGTGTAGTAAACGATTACAATACCCTTGCTTATCGCAAAGGTAATAATAAAAATAATAATAAATCTATTTAAACCCCCATTGAGAGCTCGCTGAATCTTTTTTTGGCGAAAAAATATGGGAACGAAATACCAAAAGCAACAAAGCCGAAAAATTCCTCTTCATGTTAACATTTTCTCGATTTTGTCAACTAGGTACGAATTACTCAAATCCTACCAAAAAAAAGAAACTATGCAATCCAGAGAATTCGTACAATCGATCAGCAGCTGGCGCTGTTAATATCACTTTCGAAAATAAAATGGCTAAAATAACACCTACAGCCGGAGTAGTTTTAACCTATTTATGTTAACAATTTCTAGATTCTAGCAACTAGGTAGGAATTACTCAAATCCTATCAAAAAATGAAACTTCGCAACCCAGAGAATTCGTACAATCGATAAACCACTAGGGCTGTTAATAACTTTTTCGACAACAAAATATCTGCAATAATACCAACAACCGGAATAGTTCTAACTAACCTATTTGTAGTTATTTTCTAGATTTATGTTAACATTTTTGAGATTTTGTTAACTAGGTAGGAATTACTCAGATTCTACCAAAAAATGTGCATCCCAGAGAATTCGTACAATCGATAAACCACTGGGGCTATAATACCACTTTCGAAAACAAAACGGTTGGATTAACACCAACAGGCGGAATAGTTTTAACCTGATTTGACTTTTTGCAGAGAAAAATGCCTAACAGTCAGAAAAAATCGAATAGCCTACTGAAAACTTAAATTAGAATAGCTTTATTTTCAAGACTGCTATTTAAGTTTTCTTCAACGTCTACGCCTCAACGGTGGCTGTCGGAGCTGCTTTGGTATTTCTGGTATATACTCTTTGAGCATTGTGCTTGAACACAAGTTTGATATGTCCATGCTTCTCCAATTCCGTGAGAGCCTTCTTGGCCAAAGTCGTTCTAATCTTCATTCTCTCCGATACAACAGAGGGTGTTATAAGGCGATAGTTAGGCACCTCTTTTTTAAACTTCGCGTAGGTCTCCTCGTCAAAGAAGACAGCGTTGTTGAGCTTGTCTCGTGATTTCCCTTTGGACCACTTCTTTTTCTTGGCTTTTCCACCTCCACTTGACGTAGGCTTTTGACTCTTTTTGGGATCAGTCTTTGCGGGTTGCTTTTTAGGAGGCATTAGTAGCAGAGTATCACAAAAGATCTAACCGATTCAGTATTCAAAAAAAACTTTGAATAGCCAAGATGTTCTGAAATCAGTGTACCGATATATTAACCGTTAGACTCATACCATCAAATAAAACAGATAATCGAAAAACTTTGCAACCGTTTTCGCATTTCATTCAATTTTTGAAGAATTATTAGTTTAAGACATGAGGGATCTTTCCATTAATGCTTTCAAGCAAAACATAGCCCTCATCCCATAATAGTAAATTCGCAGTGAAGGACAACAAATTTTAGGCTACTTTGAAGACAAGGGGAGTGGCTAAAAAGGGAAAACCTGATATTTTCCTCAGTGCGAAAAAATGTTCAAGCTACTTGCGAAACAGCTGCGAAGAATGATCCATACTTAGAAACGGCACGTCATCTGTACTAAATGCCAAATTGTTGGCAATATCTTTTCGGCCAACGAATCTGACCGAAGTTACACTAGTGGACACAATTGAGCGCAAATTTAGGATCTTACTCTCTAATATGCCTGTTTTCAATGTCCATTTTGGACAACAATTAGTTCGATGTACGGCAAAATTTTCACATAGACCAAGAACAAATGATCAAAGCTACCCTCTATGAACTTATCAAAATATGGCTTTGAAGACACCAATGTAAAGCGGGTCTGAAAATGCCACATTTCCTCATCTGCACTACGTTTCGCAACTTAGTGAGTTCATTCTCGATTAAGCGGAGTAAGAACGTTGTTCATGCGACGACAGGAATTCTCAGCGAGATAATGAAAATGAAAAATGCTAGAGTGAAAAGTTTTGTAAATTTAGATGTTTCACGCGGATTGAAAAACTTAGTGCAGAAGAGGGGATCTGGTATTTTCAGACCCAGATTACATTGAAGTCTTTGAAACCATATTTTGATAATTTCATAGAGGGTAGCTCCTATAAGTTTCACCAATTCACTTGTAATGGCATACAACCTGGAACGGAACGGGACGAAGTGCTACAACTCTATCATAACCCACACATGATACACTGTGAGATTCGACCAGAATGGACAAATCGCAATTTCGTTTTCGAATTTTTATCGGAACGTCTGACCGAGAGAATTGATGGTTTTTATGGATCAGTGACGCCAATTGAACAATTAGACGAATCGGGAGGGGTTAGTTTTGACTAACATGCTAATTTTCAAAAATTCGTTTCGAAATAAAGACGTCACGGCCTTGAGATTTCGCACCAACTGAAACGACGATTTTCTCAGAGAGAACAACTTTATTCGTTGAAATAGACGAGGTGAACAACACAAATGGGAATATCAGTTGAAGTTATTGTTGGAAGGCCATTCCGAGTTGTAACAAATTTCTAACATGTTCTTTTTGAATTTCATACATGATCTTTGATCATTTTATTGTAAATAAAAAATTTTATATCCTGATGATGCACAAAATGTGCGAAAACGTTTGAATTAACAATTTTAAAAAATTCTTAATTGTTACAAGGCAATTCACGACAACCAGGAAGGGTGTTGGGACGACGTGTCCAGCCTTCCGAGAAGAAAAAAGAGCGTTATTTTGTAACATTCGCCCAAATATCACACAGCGACGGAGCGTAGAAAAAGTACCTATCAACGACTGGCAGGCGTCAGTTACCTTAATTCTACTCGTTTTTCACCGTCTCGACCTTGCCAGTTGATTTTCTGGTCTGTTTAGGGCAAAGTAAAAAGTTACCATTTTTAGGCCATCAGTCAAACGACTTTTGATCAGCTTTCGTTTGCATGCGAACACAACCACATAGCTGAGTCTCGGATCCTCAGACTACGTGATTGTCATTAAAAACACGGCTCGAACCACCTATTTCTATATGTTTTTGTGTGACAGTTTTATATTAAATCCATTGGAGATGGATTGACCCTTTCCTTTTTCTATCTACTCATGCTCTGAAATATTAAATAATATCGGTGTTTATTAAGATCTAGGACATTACAGCAGCTGTTATAGTCAGTTTTCACAGTCCCTTCACATATAACAGTCTCTGGGGGACCAAGCCTCCGCTCCCGTGATTTTCTTGAGATAACACTCTTATCTCCTATATTTCGTGTCCCGGGAGGGTTCCGTGGTATTTTTCTTCCCCCCACTGAAGCCTCCGTCTCCACAAATATCTGTCGCTAAGGTCCTTATCGTGTGTTTTTGCCACGATAAGAGGC